CATGTCTATTCATCCAGGAAATTTTTATTTTTTAGTTGTTTTAGTTAATACGGGACTATTTTACTTTTAATTTCTTATTTTGTTTTTCTGTTTCGTTTTAGGGTTTTAAAAGTCAAAGAGTATATTTTGCATTAGGGTATAAGCCTTTTATGATTTTTTCCTATTTTTTCCCCTTAGATAAAACCATGGGTAGGGATGGCAATTTGACCCGCTTCGCCCGTTTTTGGCTGTTTTGGGAGACCGTTTAGCTTATTTAGGTGGGAATGGTTTGATGTAATAAAAATTGGTGCGGGGGCGGGGCAATATTAAAGTACCTTTGTTTCATTAGTATATATATTAAATACCTTATATAACAATATTAAAGTAACAAATGAATTTGATTAAAAGGAAAGTTGCAATGGTGAAGAACTGAAGATGAAGGGAAAAAAAAAAGAAGAGCAAATCTATTTCAATAATAAATAAATTATGATCTTAAATGAGGTGGGGTAGGTACCCGCGGGGATAAAAATATTAAACTGTTTCGGGAATGGGGTGAAAAATCTCCCAATTATTACGATTTTGGGCGGGAAACATAATTTTTAAACGGTTGCGGAGGCGGGGAGGTACACCCGCACCCGCCCTCGTTGTGATCCCTAGCCATGGGTATGGTAATTACAATATGAATTTACGATGTACTTAAATGTATTGGTAATTACGGTCTTGAAGAATTGACTCTTAGATTGGTTAATAAACTATCCTAAAAAATAATTTTAATAATAGTAAAAATACTTCTGGTATGTTAAAAGGCAACCATTGATATGACCGATAACAAAGATAAGGAAAAGGGTCATGGGTTGATTATTTGGTAATATTTTTCTTTTTTCCTAATCATATGACATTATGTTGTAACGGGCGACTTTTTTTTTTTTTTTTTTTTCCATTATTATTTTTTAAATTAAAATATTATCAATTTAATCTAAAAATACATATTTATCTATATATAAGTGACAAAAAGTTGTTTAAAACATTGCTCCACCAATATATTAAATATATAAGTGGTTGAACTTATCAAATAATTTATTTTATTTGTTGAACAAAGATAAAAACAACATATACCTCCATGTGTGTTCACACACACATAAATTTGTTTAAAATATTTTAATTAAGTTATAAATTCAATAATTTATTTGATAATACCTAATACTATAGTTGTACGAAATATTGAAATTCAATAAAAGAAAATCTAATTATATAAGGAAATATATGATATTAAAAAATTAAAATACTCACATGCAATAAAAAAAATATAATTAGATAAGGAAATATATAAAACTAAAAAACTCATTTATTTAATTTAATAAAAAATATAATTAGAGAAGAAAATACCAATAACAATAATAACATAGTAGTATGAAATATGAATGGAATTCGACTTAGAGAAAAAAATATAATATTGAAAATTTTATTTAATAATATAGTAGTAGGACATGATACTACTAATAATAATATAATTGTATGAAATCAAATTAGATAAGAAAATATATAATATTAAAGAATTAAAAAACTGAAATTCAATAAAATAAAATCTAATTAAGGAAAAATGCATAAACTGAACTTCCATATTTCATGGTTCTAGTAAATTCCCAAGAAGCATAAAACCCTTCATACCGAATATGTTGAGAGTGAGGATTAAAACGACAACAACGATGATTCGTTGAAAATTATATACATCGGCAAGCGACAAGATGGTTTATAAATGGAACAATTTACATAAAGCTAAATGATTTCACAAAAGGAACCAATTTATCAAATCTAGAGCAGATCTGTTTATTTTCAAGAACGGAAGTTTTTAGTTTCTTGATTTTTGCTTGTTTGGGACGAAATATAGAGAAAACATGAAGGTGAAGGAATTACCATTCATTTTTTGTAGACGTAAGTGGGGTTTTTTTCCAGAATATATGTCAAGCAGAAGAGGACATTTTCGGCATAAAGAGTGTCCTCTTCTACTAGGGTTATATTTGTCTAAAAAAAAATTAGGGACAAATAGGAAATCGATTAAAAGGAGTTTATGGAGTGTTTGGTCTATAGTTCAATCTTATCCCAAAGTTAAGTATTTGGTGTTTGGTATAGATTTGCTTTATTAATGTCCCAAAAGAACTCCTTTGGCAATTGAACAAAATGATGTATTTTTAGTTATTAAATTATTCTATTGACATGAAGGTATTACAATTATTTTAAGTTTTAAAGATATTTGCATCAAATTAATAATATAGTGGAATTTTAAACTAAAAAAAAACATTTTTTTTTTCTCTATATCAATAGGACAAGATTTTTTTTTTGCGCACTTTACCCATATATATTTGGATGCTTTAAGTTCTTGCTATTCACCTTTGTGTGACTTTGCAACTTCTCTTTCGTAAAGGTATATCTGTCTCTCTCTCCATTTCACATGGTATCAGATCGACATTAAATCACAAATATTAATTACCATTTCATTGATGAGGAAATTAGCACCTCATTGATAAAATAATTTCCTTAGTAGACAAGTGGGGCAACTTTTATCGTGTTTCACCATACAGGAGCTGTTTTTTCCTTCCAAATGTTAGTAGACCATGCATTAAAATAAATGTGGTTTTTGTTCAGTGAAATAAATTGACATGAAAACAGTGCTTTTTTGGCAAATGGTTGACCACTTGCGTGCTAAATGGGATTGTTTATTTATTTATTTTTTCGCAAACGATCAATATGTTACAAACTAATGTACTATGGTTGTAAATGTTATGTCCTATACAAGTCCGTAAAGAGTTTTTCACCACTGAATTTATTTTTTATTGGATAAATTAAAATCATGTTATCTAAAATATGGCTTTATAAAAATGTGTTTTATTTGTTGTTTTGAAAATTACAATGACCTCTCATAAGTTTAAAAAAGTTAATTATGTTATGTTTGGTAAGAAGGAAAGAAGAGGGGTGGAAGGAAAATAAGAAGGAAGGAACAAATTTCATTCGTTCAATAGAAATGATATAAGGAAATAAATGATAATAGGAAAGATAAGTCATCCTTTTCTTTTACAAATTTTCATCCGTCCAAAGCGGAAGATAGGAGAGAAGACAAGTGAACTTATTATAGAAATTTTAAATTATTAGATCACCTTTTATAAATTCCATAAAGAAAGTATTGATGGGTTTAATGGTAAAAACGACTTAAAAAATTATATCTTTTGATTTAATTTCTCATATTCGTAGTCATCCCTTTTTCTCTCGCTTCCATTTAATTTTTTTCCTTTCTACCGAACCGAGCATAAATGTTAGAAATGTTTACTTTAGCAGAACTATATATATATATATATATTATGGAATAACATAACTTATCGGTCCTTATACTCCCAAATTTACTACACTTTAAAACTAAAATAAGGTAAAAACTATTGAAGGCAAAAAAAAAAAAATTAAAGTACTCGTTCAATAAAATAAAATGTTTGGTAAGGACTGCGAATGTTTCCAGGGTCCGCTCAATCACTAGGGATGCATTTAGTAACGAAAAACGTTTCTTATTTTCTGTTTTCAACCTCTAAAAAGGCAAAACGAAAACAAAAATCGCATTAAATAAAATATTTTTGTTTTTCTATAATAGAAAATGTTTTCAATTTTTGTGAAAAAAAGAAAAAACATCAAAATAATGTTTCTTATGTTTCGACACTGTAGCACATAAACGTTTTCACTAATGTTACTGCATAGGCACTATTCATTTCAAATAAAATTCATATTATTTGTGTTATATACTAAGTTGCATATTAAATGTCAATAAAAATATATATTTTTAACATAAAATAAATAAAATATTGTATATTATTTTCTATTTGATAAAAATATATTTTAATATATAACATATTAAATAATAATGTCAATTATTTTTTGTGACAAAATAATTTTTTATATAGAATATAATGTTATTAAATTATTAAGCAGTAGATATTTTATATTATTATATATCATATCTATATTATATTATATGTAAATTTTAAATTATAATTAATTTACAATATTACAACACAATATATATTTTATTACATATGAGATATATTATTTAATATTTTTTATTCATAATAAATTATCAAATGTTAAATATATTATATATCACATAATAAATGTATACATCATGCATACACATGTATTTATATACATAATCGGTGGGAATGTTTTTGTTTTAGTGTATCTAATTTTGCACTCATGATGTATTGGGTACTTATGATGTATTGGGTACTTTTAAGATTTATAATTTTAAATTAGATTTTATAGATTTATGACTTTTTGATATTAATGGAAGCAAGTGTCGTGCCTGAGTGGTTAGGTTGCTCCCTATGTCCGAGAGTTCATGTTTAAGCCATCTACTCTATCCTCTATTCAATAACTACTAAAATTCTTGCCATAAAAAAAATAAAATAAAAAATTTAAAAAATATTATGTACATTTTGTAACAAATATGTTGTATTATTAAATACGGTTATTATTTTATGTTTTCAAATTTGTGACAACAACAAGTGTTAATAAACATCATTTATATTTTTTACTTTCACTTAAGAAAGCAAAATTATGTTTCAACTTTCTTAAAACTGTAAAAATAGAAAACGAAAACATTACTAAACGCACCCTAGGCAGGCTACGATTTCTATGTTCATGTAAAGAGAGTGTATTAAATCTCCGGGAATATGGTACTCCTGGATAGTGGGAACTAATGCAGGCCGGCCTGGCCCAAGGCGACCTCAGATTTTAGAGGCCTCAAATTTTGAGGCCCATGGGGATGAAAAAAAAAATAATAATAAAAAAAAATAAAAAAATAAAAAATTTAAGTTAGGGCAAGAGTCTTGGTCGGCTTGGGCCTCAAACGTCGACACAATCTGCGTCGACACTCTGCAGGACGCAGCCTCCGCTATCGCTTCAGGATCAGGTGACAGCGTGACAACGTATGTTCATCCTTCCTCTCTCTTCTCTCTCCTTTTGCATGAATCGATTTTTTTTTTTTTTTTTTTTTTCCCTCTCCCTAAGTCCACTCCAGTCTCGCAACAGCAGCAACCGTACCCCTTTTCCTCGTAATTTTTTGCATTTTCACATTCAATCCTACGAAAATTAAGGATCCCTTGAAGTGGGTTGAGGTCCTGAGGTAATAATTAACTTTTTCGATCTCTAAATTATGCTCATACTTAAAAGTGCCAAATTAAGGGTTTTTTTTTTTTTTTTTTGTTTTTTTAAATTTATTTTTATATGAAGATACATACCACCATTATTGATTTTATTTGAAGTTGGTTCAGCTAGAATTTCAGTTAATAATACTGTCAATGGCTCAAAGCACTTGCCAGTTGCCATCAGAATGTACAAACACATGGAAATCAAGAGCAGGCTTTAACAAAACAAAAGTTAATGGTTTTTTCTATTAATTTGCAGAGGTTTTCTGTAGCAATGATCAATCAATCACTGCTACTAAAGTTAATTCCTCCTGAAATCAAGAAAGGACTAATTGGCTCCCAAAAACAACACACAAAAACACACACAGAGCTCCAGTGAAAACTCCAACCAGAGATCATTCAACCAAACTGCTTGATTTTAGATTTTTTTATATTATATTTATTGTATGATCGGCAATGCCCAGTTATTATTGTTTCCGTTTAATTCTCCATCCGTTTTATGTTAATTGTGATCTTCTTTCACATGCTAGCAGGACACTCTTCTTAGGATCTCGTGAGGTTATTTGCCTTGAACATTTACTTTGATATAAAGTTGAATTTTGATTTTTGTGACGAAGTTGTGTTGAATATTTTATTTTAATTTCTTTTGTGTGTTTTCAACATTAATATCTTTTATGTTCTTATTATCTCATATTAATGAAAATTCTGCATTCTTATAATTTTTGTGCCTGTGAAAATTTTGCACTCTTTAATTGATAGATTTATTGTTATTAGTTACATGTCTTATGCACACTGTATAGGCGCACAATTATTTATTGGTGGTGATAGATTTATAGTTATTAGTTAGTTGTCTTTTACAAACTGTACAGGTGCACAATTATTTATTGGTGGTGATAAAAATTTATAGTTATTAGTTAGTTGTCTTAAGCACACTGCACAAACGCACAATTATTTATTGGTGGTGATAGATTTATAGTCATTAGTTAGTTGTCTTATGCACACTGTACAGGCGCACAATTATTTGTTGGTGGTGATAAAATTTATAGTTATTAGTTAGTTGTCTTATGCACAATGCACAGACACACAATTATATTAGCTATAGAATTTGAAAACATCGTGTGAAAATTCCGCACCCTTATAATTTTTTTTGCTCGTGTGAAACTTAAGGGCTTCACATTTGAAAGTTTGCCTAGGGCCTCTCAAAATATTTGAAATCTTAGGCCGGCCCTACATGAATGTGGTGATGGGCTCCACCACATTCAATGGCTGGGATGATCCCGGAGTATTTAATACTTTCTCCACGCAGAGAATGTTGAAAAAAAAGGCCCCATTTTTTTTACTTATCAAAAAAAAAAAAAAAAAAAAAAAAATGGCCCCATTTTTTTTGAACTATATATATATATATACTGGAAAATAATAAAAAAATGCCCCTTGTAGAGAAGGATTAGTAGAAAAACTCCTAATAAATATAATTACTTACAATGTTATTTAATTTAATTGATTTTTCTTTTCAGTGATAAAAATAGATTGAATTCATTGTATATATTCTGTCTTTTATATAATTTAATTGAACTAAAAAAAGTCAATATTTTATATACTTCTATTTAAATTATCTCTCTTTTTTTCACATCCTTTTTATTTTTTTAAAAAATTCTTCTAACTTGCTTTTATATATTTTATTCTTAATATATTTTTTACTCATTTATTGTTTAATTGGTATAAGAACTCAAAAATAAAAAAAATGTATAGAATTAATTAATATTATTTATGTTTATGTACTAAAATAAAAATATACTTTTAAGAATTTTCGCATTAGGCCTCAATATATATTAAAGAAAAATGATTTTTTTGATGACATATTATTAAGGCTTCAAATGAACCGAGCTATTCATTCATGAACAGTTCGGGTTCGATTCAGACTTGTTCGTTAAGTAAATAAGTCAAGCTCGAGCTCATTTTTCAAACTCGTTTAATAAACGAGCCGAGCTTGAACATTGCTAAGCTCGGCTCATGAGCAGTTCATTTAAATAAAAATTAACATATTTAAACTATTTTATATAAGAACTTATAATTTAGCCCAAGTTTATTTATATTTTTATTGGCCCAATTAGTGTATTAGTATTTGGAAACCAATCTTACAAATAAAATCATTTAGTTAAATGATCCATTTGGCTCAATTCATGATTTTATCTTAGCCTTGGATCAATTTTATAAAGGTTACTAAAAAAAACCTAACAGTAGCCCGCCGCAAGAAGCAAGCAACGAGAAATTGCCCTCTGCGCTAATCCTTCCACTCCCACCATTCTTTGACTACACCGGCGACTCTCGCCGTTCTCTGACTGCACCGGCGACATCCATGTTAGCTCTCCACCCCTCTCTCTCCCTCAATCTCAAGCTTAATATTCAACTTATCAAAAAAAATAAAAAATAAAAAATAATAAAAAATGGCTTGGTTTATTATAGTATATAAATATGTGTGTGTATATATATTGACAAGCCCGAGCGGAGCTGAGTTCAAGCTCGTCAAAAAATTGTTGAGTCGAGCTCAAGCTTGGACCAACCAAGCTTGTCCGAATCCTAGCCGAGCCTTGAGCACCTCTCTAGACTATCCGAGCCCGATAGGTTAAGGGCTTTCGGTCGACGTAGATAGGTTGGGGGCTTTTGGTTGACGTCTGGTCCTTAGGCGTTGACCGATATCTGTAATTTTTTTGGGCTAGATTAATGTGTGACATCAATTATTCAGCATTATGTGAATACCTTCTTTTGATAGTGAAGGTGGCGAGTGTTTTTTTTTTTTTTTTTTCATGTATATAGGACTCAGTCGACATGAAGTGGCTACACGTCGACTGGTTCGAGGTTTTCGGTCGACGTCTGGTCGTTAGGCGTCGACCAGTATCTCCAATTTTTTGAGCTAGATTTATGTGTGACATTAGTTATTCGGTACTATGTGAATACCTTGTTTTGAGGGTGAAGGTGGTGGTGGGGAGTAAGTTACTTTGTGTAATTACCGCATCCATACGCGATCTCAATAGCACTTAAACAAATAAGGACGTGGCCAAATATAGGCCAATTAATGTGCAACGCATGGGACAGCAGGCCAAAGTAGCTTCGGAGGAGGATTCGCGCCCGATGTTGGTTAGGGTTTGTGAGAAGATGTCACACAACTTAAATTGCAAACTTGGCTATCCACGTATGTAGTCGGTTCTATTTCGGTTCTTTTTTGTTGGGCTAAATCGCAGCACATGACTGCAAACAGACCCTAAAACCATCCCTATGCCACCAAATCACTTTCTGCCTCTCCCAAAACCGAAACACTCGATTCCTCCATTGACCACCGCAAACTCATCCGCCGGCGAGAATAGAAGCTCCTCCACCATTGTCACTCTCCTCCAGGTTTTTGCTTTCGCTCTAACTCAATCTCTCTCTCTATATATACACACAATTACACACACATCTCACTCTACTTTCTCTCTCATGCACAATTTCTACATCTTCTGCCTCAGTCTTTGCCTCCATCGCTCCCATCTCGTCATCCGCCTTGCTGGTAACCTGTAGGCGTTGAAACTTTCTTCCCTGAGGAAATCCTTTCCTGACTCCATAATTCGACGGAACTGAAGCGCTTTTTTAACGGTTATTGAGAAGAGTAAGCCTAAGATGGTTGGGGAGTTAGTATTGAAATAAGCTGCGAATTACCCAACTCTGGAAGAGAACAAATTCTCATTTTTCTGTGCTTGTGAGGTCCTCTGTTTCTAACAGTTTGTCTTCCATGGTTGAGTCTATGAGGACTTCTTGAAGCGAAGATTTGTTCATGGTCTTCCATAAAATAATATTCAAAACCCTAACCCTAGGCTGTCTTATCCTCATTCACTCTCTCTCAATATTTGAAGATTTTTTTTTTAATTAATTAATTAATTATTTATTTATTTATTTTTGTTACTTATGGTTTTTGTGATTTTAAAATTTTATTTGCATTTGTCAATGAGATTGTACAATTTTGTGTTTTTATCAATGTAGTTGCAATGAGCAAGGAGAATTCAACCCAAAAGGCTGCACTTCCAAAATTGGTGAAGTTAGATAAGGCGTTTAAGCTAGTGAGTATTTAATTTTTCCCTGGCTAATGTCTTGTTGGGGTAATCTTGAGTGGTAAATGTGTTGCATTTCTTGTAACTGATGATAATTTTTCTGAAATTTATTAAAGGGCGTTAGTAATATCATATAGTAACTCATTTAGGGATCTTACTCTCAGTTGCTTATTAAATTTAAGCTAAAATAGTTTACTTGGGATTTTGAGGAAACCATGCTGTCTAAATACTGGATGGTCCACTTTAATGTTTTGTTGTTTCAGAGATTCTATGTGAACATAGGTGAATAAAGGCGTTTCTCATGCAAATGTGTAGAATTTTATGGCATGATGTCTTGCATATCTGATCTACAACTGTAGTTGTAGATTTTCCTTCTATTAAGAGCATTTTATTATTATTTTTCTTCATTTTTTTTATAAGTATTATTATTCTTTATATTCATGGAGCACAATGATCCGGATTTCGGTCTACCCCCATTGAAAGGAGCGTATATCTTCAGTGTTGGCAATGTCGTGTTTGGCATGCCAAGGGTCTAGGCCGTGTTTCTGGTTCAGGTGATTATGTGTCTATACTATTTTATGTCAGGTGCTCTGCCATTGTTTGTAATAAATGGCTAAGCTTATGGTGCTAAGATCGTGTGTGCTTGGTTTATTTTATCAATAACTTTCTGCTTAGTTTCTACTAGGGAAGAAAGAAAGTGAATGGAAAATTTTCATTTTATCATATTTTTATTTTAAGAATGAAAATTTTTGTCTAGGGAAAAGTATGGGTCTTAATTTGGTCCAAGTTGGTTTCTTTAGCCAAATCACCAAAGAAAACTTTATTTTAATGAATTTATGATTGGTTATTTATGATTTTCTTGTCATGTCATTGAACTACATTGCTCATAGTTTTTCATATTTGCATAAAATTGTTACGTTTTGCTATTTCTATTGGGAGGTGCAACAGATACCTTGACTGCACTGTTGTAAGCTCGCATCTTTCCTGTGGTAATTATGTTTTAAAGATCTCATTTGCTCAACTATATGCTGCTTGTGTACAGGCCGAACAATGGGTTAATAATATGACCAAATCCACAGATGAATCAGCTGAAGTAGAATTAGAGGGTCGACCTGCTAGGTCAGTAAGTCTATTCTTTTGTTGCTTTAATTATAATTATAGGCAGTTTGTTTAATTTCTTCATGCATTTCTATAGGCTGGGACTAGGTTCAACAGTACCACGCCAGTCCAAAATTGGGCATTCAAATGACCCCGTTGAAAGGAAATTGCTGGCTAAATTGAATATTGGAAGAATAAATGCGTCCAAAAAGACTCTGGAATCTACCCCATCTGCAAGAGATGGATGTGGTGATAGTGATGATGACGAGGATGACTTGGATAGCAGAACCAATGCATTTGCCAAGAAGAGGCCGGTGCCTTTGACCTCATCTTTACAGGTAAAGAAGAAGAAGAAGAAGTAACCGTTCCTTGCCAAAATGAAAGCTTTTAAGTGCTTTTATTACTTTTTTGACACAGGTTGATGAATTTCATTTATTTCATTAAATCTTCATATTGTCCCTTAGTTTCCTTGTACCCATTTTGGGAAGTGGCTATTACCTACAACACCTCCCTTCGGACACAGGTACTGTAATGTTATTGTACATTGTTAAAATGGAAAATGTATATTAGGGCTCTTTCCTTTTGCTCTATACAACTAATTTATATGTTTGTGAGCTCAATGAGCTTTTTAGCTTTATAGTTTCTGAATTTTTTCTTTGGCTTTATACGGCGAGTTTGTATCTATTGATTACTGCCCTAAGCACTTTAAAAAAAAAAAAAAAACCTTGCAACTTTGTGGACAATTTTAAGTGATATACCATATTCTTTGGAGCTCAATTTATTTTTATGAGATCAATAGCAGGGCATGAAAATTGCGGTGTTCTTTTCTGCTGATGCCTTGATGTGTGTTGGGTAATAATTGCTTGAGTGAAGTCTCTCAAAATGCTTTCTTGTATGAACTTACATTTTGGATTGACAAAATGCATTTATGAACTTACATTGTGGATTGACAAAATGCTTTCTTGTGCAACAGTGTTTTTTGTCAAACATGGTCTTGATGTTCTACTGATGGCTTGAGCCATTTTATGTAGTTTCTGGCAGCTTGATTGTATTTTTAATGCAATGTTAGTGCTTTTCATATTGAACTTTGAAATTGGTTTTTTTCCCCTCTTTTGAAAAGGACCTATTGCCAATGTTGGACTTTATTGCAAGAACTATAGCAGCAACCATAGCATCCTATTCGTGGTAGTTTCTTATATCATTCCTCGTTTTCTAACAGAGAGCTGAAACGCTTGCTGGGGCCTTTTAAATCTGTAAAACAATGGTTTAGATTTACAACAGCATTTCTGAAATTGTCAACTGAATAAAAACCCGGGAGCATTTTCGCGAGAACGAAATGGCCAACAGATAGACCTGTTGCTAAAAAATCTGAGTGTATAACATGATAATATGTTATACTCTAGGTTAAGATTGTTTTTGTTTTAGTACATACAGACCTGTTGCTAAAAAATCCAGTGTATAACATGGTAATATGTTATACTCTAGGTTAAGATTGTTTTTGTTTTAGTACATAGGGGAAAACTCTGTTTTTCTCGTTAAAGGGTCAGTTTAATTTGTCCAAAAAAAAAAAATCAATTTAATTCAATTCAACCTTGGATATCATTCTAACAAATTATGGTTTGGAACATAATTTAGAATTCAGAAGATAATCAGATGAGTAAGCTACTAAGAAGTAGACAATGAAAGAAGTTGAAAAGCAAATGGTGGGAAGCCAAATAGATGTTTTGGACAAAAGGATTAAAGGATTCTGATAAATATTTAAGTTCCAAAAAAATTTGGAGCTTTTTGGTTGCCTTGATCAAAACCAAAAAGAATGTAGCCAAAATAGGAAATAAAAATATGATCCAGTTATCTTTCACATGCAAAATAGGAAACTTTTGAGGCTTAATAACAGCATAGAACATGCACTCTAAAAGAATTGGAAAATCCAAAACACAACAAACAAAGCCTGTCCAATGTGTATAACAATTTTTTTTGTTTTGTTTCAGTCCTTTTACATTTACAACTGACTAGTCACAACTCACAGATGCTCACAAAGTTGTAATTACAACAGTAGGTACTATGTGAAAACAAAACCAGAAAACAGAAGTAAGAATAAATGAAATCAAACCAAAAGAAAAAAAAAAAAAAAACCTTATTAGAACTAGATACAACACATTAAACACACCAAACCTGTATTCTACAATGATCGGAACACCTCCAATTTCACCGTGTTAAGCCACCAGCTGAGAACTGTCAGCTCAACATGTTTTGTATCTTCAAAAGGAGCACTTGCATGGGAACTAAATGATTCCGATTTCTTCCTATATAGTGAGGATCCTTTATTTATTGGCTTCGACTAAGGAGAGATCCTAATTTTCTGTTAATGAACTGGAAACCCTAACTACCGTATTGATATGGTTTCAGTAGCAACTGCTGTAAATGTTGTGTGAAATTGTCCATAGAAAGCTCCAAGAGAGAGAGAGCGCGCTAAACTAACTTGGAAGATGATGCAGCCAGCATATTCTCCTGGTATACAAGAAATGACTCAAGGCAGGCCACTTCTTGGGGAAAATGAATGAAGTTGGCAGGCTTTACGAACACATGGTACTCTCGTTTTCCTTCAACTCAGTGGGAAGTTCAGAAAAATCACATTTTGGACTTTCATCTACAAAGGTTAATAACACGTCTTTTATCAAATCTTCAAAAATGGCTTCCGCTACCTCAATACCAATACTTTCAGAATCAAATCGAAGGTCCATCCATGTTCCGGTTCTTGCCATGTCTTTTCTAACAATTTGGTCCAAAGTACGTGGTGGCGGCGGTAGGAGAAGATGCCATTCAACTCCTTTCCATACCTCAAGGATGATATTCTTCCCTTTTGGGATTGGCTGAATGTGCCGCTTTACAAATGATGCCCCAGGGAAGTAACCAAAGTAGTACTCACAAACCTCCTTAAGAACTTCATCAGTACAATCAAAGAGGAGCTCCTGGTCATGCCGAGATCGGTTGGAAAACAATTCTACTTCATCAAACAATGATGGGTCAAGAAGATGGTTTGAAGATAGCCATCTCGAGAGAAATTCATCCCAGTTCAAGCCAGAACCAAGCAGCACTGCCTCTACATAATCAAATTCAGATTCCTCATCCTCCATGCATGTTCTTACACATATTCCTTGATCTGTAGCTGGAAAGATCGGATCTTCGAAATGGATATCTAATGTTTGCATTGGTGCTACAACTGTAGATTTTTAAATGGCTTAACTTTAGCACAGAAGAAAATGTGATGTACAATAAAAAAAATATTGGATGTGAGGTCAATTTTACTCTTGGTATGAGAGCCTACCAGGTAAGGATTTGATGCTTGCAGGGCTGATCTCATCTTCTGTGAATAATGGCTCAAGCACAGATACGGGACTTGGCCGCTCTGGTCTTTCAATGGCACTTTCTAGATCTTCAACTTCCTTGGCAACCAAAAGGCTTGATGGACGATATGGAGAATACAGTGATTCATCCTCATCAAGTGAATCCTGGAAAAGGAACAGGAGAAAAGCTGTGATAGAATGCACTAGAACAAGATGGAAAAAACCAACAAAACACAAAGCACAGGGAAATTCATAAAATGCCTCTAAATATTTTAAGGAGTTTTAAGTTTTTCTAGTACATCTCAATCCAAGTAACTTATCGTCAAATATGTTCATACAAAATATGTTTTCTCCTGATCCCTCTTCGATAGAAATGTCACTTTCTTAGTTTTAAAGGAGGGCTCACTATTTCAATATATATATATATACCCATAAGTTAATTTGAGCACTTAATTAAAGTCATATTACTAATTATTTGTGCCATACAAAAACACCAGTGAGCAAAAAAAATTTACCAATTTCAAGCACTGGGACGATTCCTCTTCTTCACAAACTGCATTGCCCTTCTGGTCATCATCAGTAATTGATGAGCTTTCTTCTAAAACATCCAGAACTTTGCTCACTTTCTGAAATTCAGTATCAGTTGATTTTAAAATATCAACATCACCTACACAAGTTTTATGAACAGAGATTTAATACAATGCTTCTCACAATAAGTTAAAGAATGTAAAACTATAGCCAAAAAAAAAAAAAGAGAGAAAAAAGAAAAAAATAAAAAGAAAAGATATAATGAAAGAAAGGAGAAACAATACCTCTAGAGCTCATTTCATCTCTCGTAGAAGACAGGGTTTCTACCACTGCGTTAGCATCTTTAAGCTCATCTGAGATTTCCAGATTTGAGTCGAGGGCTTGTACAATGTCATCGGGGATGTCACCAATAATGCATGATTCGCTCTCTAAGTTTTGCCATGATGGACCTTGATGATTAACATGGCTTTCTTGTATGAGTCTCCAGGTGTTCTCATTGACCATTTGAAGATTGTTGCAAGAAGACAATCTCATCTGTGCAGTTGCAAAACCTTGCTCCTTGTCCTGTCCAGGACTGCAAATCGGAGAAAAGTTGAACTCATTAAGAGAGAGAATCCTACCTAGTGTTTCCGGTAACTGTCTGTTCGAGAATTCCTCAACTTCATCCCCATTGCTCAGCATCTCCAAGAGATGTTTTTTGGCCTCGATGTAAATATTAGACACCTTTTGCTCTGGATAACCTATGGTTTGATTTCCAATACTTTTCTCTGCGTCCTTTGGACTGTCATTCTTGTCTCTCTTCTTGATCCCAATGGAAGGTCTGGCCATTCTTTCGTTATAAAAATGGTTTCTATTTGGAGAACCCCATCCACCATTTTCTCTACCAGCCTCTTTGTCACTCTTTCCAGATTTTTGACTCTTGGTAAGAAATCTATTCGTAACACCATCTGTAGAGATCCCATGCCGCTCCTTTCCCATAGCATGCTTTAACTTTCTTTTAATTTCAGTAAAAGAAAATTGGGAAGCAATTCTCTCATTTTGCCCTTTATTCCCCAAGCTGCAATGAGATTGCGATGACGTGCCAAGTTTGCTATCTGTTTCAGGATTTTGCATGGCTTTTGGTCCAGGCTTCAAAATGATAATTCTGTTTGAAGGTTGACAATTCTCATTCCCATTCAATTCATTTCTTTCCTCAGACTTGCTCCTTCTCCTGAAGAAGGTGTGCTTCTTACGGTTGGAAAGCTCAGATGGTCTTGAGTTGCTTAGCTCCCAGTTTACCAAGTTGGTTCCCACCACGGAATTGGGATTTTTGTCTTTATCCAACTGAGAATCTTCAACACGCTTCACCAACATTGAGTTTCGATCCTTTATAAGTTTCAAAAGCAGTTCCTTATTTGAACTCATTGTCTGAAGCGCATCCATGAATTCTTTGGAGGGGTGGAGTTTCCCGTCTTCTGGGAGATGATTCTCGCAAGCAAACTTCTGATTTACAAACACCTTAATTGCCTCACTTAACTTTTCTTCGAAAACAGAATATGTCTGGTTTGACTGCATGTCAAGATCATCATGCCAGTCATGCTTCACAAAACTGGTGTGTTTCTGATGGATCTGGTGGCAGATCTCTTCCAGTATTACTTCCAGATCAAGATCATTTGAGGTTTTTCGCTCTGAAATTTGATGACAAGAGTTTTCAGTAGTATTCAATTCACATACATGCATATCACAAGACCTCTTGCTAGTTCTGTTCATTCTCCAACGGTTCTTTTTCACATGTCCACATTCTGAATTAGATTCTTTTGGTTCCACTTCAGCAACACTGATCTGTTCTTTCATGTCTTGTTCACTCAACATCTCTTCTTCCATGAGTTTCTTTACACTAGTCTTATCAGCAGCAGCTGCTGTTGTTTCACCAACCTGAAACATTTTCAAGTTAATTAAGGTAAAATATATAAATGTTACAGTTCACCCTTTATTATATGGCCTAAAGTTCATAAATGTAGTTGAGCATCCCCTTCTCACCCCACATGTCCAAAAGGAACGAAAAAAAAAAAAAAAACCACAAAAGGAAAGCAAGCAGTATTATTATTCTAGTTTTCATGAGTAAAATATAAATTGTCAATACATACCATGCTTCCTCCACAGTTCTCATCGGAATTTGTCAGCATATTCATTTTGGACATAAGATATCCGGCACCAGCTACAAGGGGAAAAAATTAACAAATTACATAATGTGGAAAATGGAGTTTGCGGAGAACTAGAAAGAATTGTGCTATGAGCTAACGTGGTATAATGAATGCCTTTGGTGTTGCATATTTTCAGAGAAACTCATTTTTTCCCCCATGAATGGTCTAAATAGTTTTTAAAAAGGGAGACAAGCTTGTTCTTTGATGGTCTATTGCTTTGAGGAAAACATGGACATTTTCTTAATAACTTGTGAAACAAACTGTCCTCGATTTCCATGTTCTGCACCAATGAAAACTCAGAATGAAAAATATAATTCAAAATTTAAAATATTCAACAGGAACACACTATCTGAAACACATTTCCACAAGACCTCCACTTAATCTTTCAAATATATAATTATAAAAAAAATAAAATAAACTTTTTTCTTGATATTAAACAAATTCTTACCGACAGCTTGTTTGTTCCCACGCCTTCGATCTAAAAGCAGTTTGCGAGTTGATCTACCATGCTGAAAGTCAAAGATATTAATCAAACCCCATATGCACCCTGGCCGATCTTTTTCATGTCGTACTGGGCGTCTTTGTGATCTTTTTGCCATAATGAATGGGTGATTCTATGACCTTTAGAATGCTAAGTTCACATAGATTTCCTTACTGATACAGCCACATCAAGCCTGAGAAATGAGAAAATAGAGATACAATGACGTTAAGCAGGTAAGTTGCACTGCCTAAATACCCACCAAACTACCAAAAAAGCAAAATATAAGAAATTTCAGACAAGAAAGTCCAGGAAATTCAGTTACACACTTTATACTTTCTAAAATAACAATGCAGAATTATATGAACTTTGCCCCCGGTATTTTAAAAAATGAAAATTTTCAAGATATATTATCCATGAGAGAAGCAAGTAGAAGCGTTTAGACTGCGACTTCATCCAATGAGAAGAATTATGCAAAAGTATAATAGTCAAGATCCAAAAGGAGTAAATTAGAATACAAAAAAGAAAAATCAAAAGAATGTTGCTGCATTGGATCTTTTTAAACCCGCCCCACCCCCCCCCCAAAAAAAAAAAAAAAATTGCTGAAAAATAATAGAATATACATTTAATATAACAAATGAGAACCACAGATACATCATACACTTGGGACTTCTACATTTCTATTAGTATCCTGAAGAGAATTTTACTGATTGTTTACAAAAATCTATTTGGTTGTTTCATGAACCTGTGATCATACTACATTGTGAAATAAAACCAACAAAGATCTGAATACAAGTGTTTTTTTTAAGACCAGTGCGGTTGGAAAATTATGTTCCTTGTCGAATTGATAGTCACTTTGACGGTGAGAAATTAAATGCCAAGCTGGTTGATGTGAATAATTGACTTGTCCTACTACAACATGTGGGCTTCCAAAAATTAAGGAAAGAAAAAGAGAGAAGATGTGTCAAAGAAATTAACAACAATAAAATTACTTAGTTCTCTTTTTCAAATAATTGATTGCACTTTCAAAAAAAAATATAAAAATAAAAATAATAATAATAATAAAATTGATTGCAATAATAAGAAATATATGATAGGAGGCAGGAGAAAGTACCTGACACTCAGATGGCTTAACAATAGGCCACTAATAATAGATATGCAGCCAGATATAACTGTTAAAGAAGATCAACAAATAGCAATTTCAATCTTCAAAATTTCAAACAGAGTAAAGCTCTAAAGCTTTATTTGACTGGCAATGAATCAAAGATTTGCTTTTTCTCTTTTCATCCACAAGCCTTCACCATAGTCTTGGTAATGGTAGTCGGATCTTCCTTTAGGCCAAAGAGACCAATTATGACAAATATATCAACTCAAAAACTTCCTAGACTCTCAATTATTCACCAAGGATGTGTTAATCCCCATCCCATTAACCACTACTTCAACCCAAAAACCTCACTCCTTTCACCCCAACTTAGTAAATTCTACTGCAATCCAACCAACAAGCTGCGAATTCGGGTTTTCGAAAACTGATTCAAGGATTCTCCTTCAATGTCAAATCTCCCAACTCTTGAAATCACCAAATATACACTGATGATTTTCCAATAGCCCAATCTTCAACTATTTAAACAAAATTCATTCTTTTGGAAAATACCCAAATCAATTTATATGCTTATGCTTCATGTGTACAGAGAAGTAAATGGTTTAAACACCAAATGAGGATGTAAAGCCTAGAATTTTAAGCCTTTTGAGCCCATTCCGAGCATATCGCAGAGATAAGATCTTGAGCAAATTCTAATCATTCCAGCACACAAGCACCAAAAGAAAAAGAGAGAATCTCATAAAAAAAAAAATGAAACTTTGTAGCTTTGTACCTTTGTGGGTATCTTCACCGACCAAAAAGAGAGAGACCCAGATGGCTCAAACACCAACCCACATAATAAAATGTGGAATTAGTTGTGGGGCAGCCATTAAAGACTCAAGAAGGTGGAAGAACAGAGGAGAGAGAAGAGAGAGGTAGTGAAGAAGAATAAGAAGAAGGAAAAGAGAGGTTGGAAAGTGAAAGTGAGAGTGGAATCAGTAGCTTTGTGATGTTGGGTACTAGAGATTGAAGAATACGTGAAAGTTGGGTAAAGGATTGTTGGGCCCATTATTATTACGTTGAGAGCTTTTTTCCATTGAAGAAAAGTCTCCATTTTTCTCCGCTGCAGCAGTTCCATGTTCAACCATCATCAGTGTCACCACCCCCACACCTGTCTCCTCCTCTTTTTCTCTCTCTCTAGATGGCACTTTGTGACTTGGTCAGGAAAAAAAACCCCATTGTTTTCTCTCTCTAGATGGCACTTTGTGGTTTGGTTAGAATTAGAAACGTATGAGCATTGTTAACTCATTTGCATTTTGTGATACAGAGAGCGAGAGAGAGAGAGAGAGAGAGAGAGAGAGTTGAGAAATGACTCTCATCGACTATTGCGAAGATACGAAACGACAAACAGGATAGTGTAGGGATTGGTATTCTTAACTTATTTGCATTTTGGTTCCGTTTTGCTTTGTTAATTTAGCGAAGAAAAACAAGGACTTATTTTCAACTTAAATAATAATAATAATAAATTATAAGGTAAGTGAAGCAAATAAAATAAAAATAGATTTTATGCAAGCATTTGGTTAGAGTGAAAAAAATTACAAGTAGAAGAATATGGTTTGAATGTTTTATGATTTGAAGAATATAAAATTTTAACTTACCAAAATATATATATATATATATATATATATATATATATATAAATATAAATTAACAAGAACACTTTATTTTTTATTATTATTATTATTATTTTTTACTATCCAATCGATGAAAAAGTTGAATTTTTTCATTTTATTTCTTGTGCTTTTCCTATTTTTTCTTCTGACCAAATGAAGCCCAAGTCATGGACCCATGGTAAAAGAGAAAAAAAAGAGAAACATATATTATATTGCATTTTATATAAGTGAATGAAAAAATTATCATTTTATAAAATTTTGTCAACAAATTTGTCATCATATATAAAAAAAATAAAAAAAAACCGCTAGAATGTGTTATTGAGCACACTTAAAAAAGAAAAAAGAAGAGGTAGAAGAGTATTTGAATGAACAAAAAATTGTAAATACTTACATATCTAGGGTGAGATCGAATTTTTTAAAGAGACAAAACTGATGGTCTGAATTTCTTCCCAATGTAAAAACACAAATGACAGATGAACTGAATGTGATTAGTTTAGAGTAGAAGAGTGGTTAGACAGCATTACTCTTTCATTCCAAATAAATTAATCACATTACTTTAAAGAAATGGTGCAGGTCAAGTGTGTAAGTAAGGACCACAGAAAATGGAGTTGAACCTCATTACCAACTCTAATGGTGATCTCTTATCAAAATCAGACGGGCCACAAGAGACAAGAACGAGCTTCCAACCACATATTGTCTAACTAACTATAAATTTGTGTGTGTTGTTTTTATTATTATTTATAATTATCATTTTAATAATTAAGAATCAAAATATGTTTTAGGACCCTAATTGTAGTTGCAACACCGAATCTAATAATAATAATAATAATCTGATTAAGAATATATTTAGGTTCTGAGAATTTGTTGGAGTAATCGATATTGTCCTAGTTTTAAGCTAATTGAAGTCTAGACAGGGACAATTGATGGAAAAACAATGACTATTGCAATTTAAACATAGTGCGTGCATCCTCATGCACAACGATAGGGAAAGAGATGGCTTAAGGTGTCCTTGTCTAATCATACACGCATATATGGTAAATTAGAAAGACTTTCTATCATATTTGAGCAAATTACAAGACAGTTAGTCATTCATTGTTTATTACTTTAATCTATTCTAAACTTATTTATTAGGTTACGAAAAAGCGATTTTGAATAAGAAAAGTCAGTAATATTCTTATATTATGCTGCATTTTATACTAAAAATCTCGTAAAAAACAATAGGGTTATTGAACACATGCCCCAAATCTGAAGAAAGTAAAAATAAAAAAATTGAACACTATATCCGGGCACGGACCTACAGAGGGATTTTTTTTTTTTTATAAATAATATACCCTTTGTAATTTGTTTTCTTCAATTACATACCCTTAAAAAGTTACTATTACCCCCCTAAAATTATTGAAAAATTTCATTATTGCCCCCCTGACATAATATTCTAGGTCCGTCCCTAACTACGTCAGTGTGTAATTTGTTCAAATCTCGATAAGGTCAATCTAATTTATCCATATATATATATATATATATATATATATATAGAGAGAGAGAGAGAGAGAGAGAGAGAGAGAGAGGTGTCTTCCTAAAAGGGTTCAGCTTGAGAGAGAGGTGTCTTCCTAAAAGGGTTCAGCTTTTCCCTTGCTTGCTCCATAAGAGATTCAATATATACAAACAAAGGATGGTGAAATGGAATAGATCGAAGAGGACCACAACAAACAAGCATTCATGCCAATTCCACCATGCACTACCAACTTTGTCTCTTACGACTCACCCAATTGTCTCCCAAAAAAAAGAATAACAATTAAAAACCAAAACCTTAACAACCTCTGATAAATGGCATGGTTGGTTAAACGCTTTTATTAGAGACCAATCTTAATGACCCATTTGGTGAAATTTAAGTTCACCAAACACTCTTCCTTCATTGCCATTACCCACTTCTATTTAACAATGTTACCTAAAGTTGGCATGTAGTTTGCTGCGACTAGAGTATCAGACTAATCCCATTCATTACAATATTCAATTAAATACATATATATATGTGTGTGTGTGTGTGTCTCATGAAGGTCCTCATGTTGCAGCTACATGTAAACTTCGTGAAGATGTCATTGCTCTGACTAAAAGTGTATATTAAGTAGATTATAGATACATATAAAACAGAGTAAAAATTTAAAAATAATCCAGTTTACCTCTATGTTCTATTTGTTTAATGGGATTAGGTGTTATTTTCAATTTATTATATCCATAAATCTAATTTTTAGTACGAAGAATGTTGAGTGGGAAATTGAAATAGCCTCTATGTTCTATTTGTTTGATGGGATTAGGTTTTATTTTCAATTTATTATATCCATAAATCTAATTTTTATTAGGAAGAATGTTGAATGGAAAACTGAAGTAGACTTATCATGGTCAGTTAGCTGTTAGAGAGGAGGAGAGGGTAAAGAGTAACCCAATCACACAAGCATTATGCCTTATTTTTGTAGAAAGCAACCAGTGACATGAATTCTCTTTCTCTATTCAGCGTTTCACCTACCATGTTTAATTTTTTAAAATAAATTCTTAATAACTTCGTCCTATGTTATTTTAGTTCACCCTCTCTTTTTTTACCTTAAATATATTACTTTTATTATTACATTGCATAAAATAAAATCTTAAACTCCAACCTAAGTCCATCATTTGTCGTCACCTTGACTTTTTGCCGTTACACCGATTAATGATTTGGACAAGAAAAAATTGTTAATTATACACACACACACATACTTCAACGCGTTAGTTTTATACTGGCATATAGTTTGTGATAGTAACAACTCAATTAGTGAATTTTCTTGACCGTTCATGGTGTGGGTGACCAAATTTCTCTCAAGAGAGTGGTGGTTCTCGGGAATTCCCATTTCAATTCAACTAATCTATCTGTTTCAGCATCCGATGCCCATCACCTTCAGGACACTCATGTCTTGACAAGACTCCCAAAAGGCCCATCCACTTATCTTTTAAGAAAAAATGAAGAAGTAAAAGCTTGTGAGTTACATCATGCACAATTAAAGTAATGCCAAATTATGTGGTATAATCCTACTTTAATACATTAATTATTGTGGGTTGGAAAACTTTGGAGATGGTGGAATTATGACTCATCTCCATCAAATATCGTAATGGGTTTTTATACCATGCATCTAGCATCGCTGTTATAGTGGTATGTTTTCCACCGTTGGATCAAAACAATATGGTAGATCGTGTGGTTGTTAATCGAGTGGGGTCCATATCAGTGGTTACAACCGCACGAATTGATCATGTCAACAGAATAAAAAACTTGATTAAGGAACAAGACAAATAAGGCTTCGTTTGATACTTATCTATGTAATTTATATAATAGGAAAATGAATTTATTAATCATTGGAAACGCAGGTCTCTACTTATAGTCTTGTGTCTTCACCTCCATAAGGAGACAATTTAGCTTTGATTCGAGAGGAATAAACAAAGGAATCATTCAATGAACAAAATAAAAACAATGTGATCATTGGTTTAAAGGATGGAGATTATTAAGAATCATGATTATATAATCTAACTGGATTCGGAAGAAAGCTCGATTAAGAAATTAGAGATCATATCACCTTTGCAACCCAAGAATATAATTGAAAAACAGCTGTATAACATTAGTGCAGAGAGGGACCTAATTCTTAAAATACCCTAAACATTGAGGGGGCTAAAATTAATCCTAGACATTTTTCGGTGCAGATCTGGTTCATTCTTTAAATACCCTTTTTTGCACTAATTTTGAAATTATCAATCATTCCTAGAACAAGAAAAGTATAATTATTAAATTGGGGTATGTGACAGGTGTCATTTCTAAAGAGGTCAGTTTTTTTTTTTTTTTTTTTTTTCCTTAAGTAAAGGAACTACATTTGTGACATTTATATTTCCAACATCATCGAAAATTATGCCAACTTGACATAAAGCTAAAATGGATAAAAAGTAAGCCCAAAGTGTACGGTGAATTTAATCACCCCAAAAGGGGAAACACTAACATATGGGCCTACATGCAATTAATCCTTAAAAGCGTACGTATTGGACATGGGCTTCTGACAGCCCAATTACCGAATAAAGCTGGTGGATCGTGGAGAGAAATTATTACATGGTCCGGCCAATTATAACTTGACATGTAAATAACAATATGAATGAAACTAACACATTTGATTGTGTGTTAAATTGTGATTAATTGTGATTAGTTGACATCATGTAGTCCCGACCTGGTTATCAGTAGGGTAAGGTAAATCAAAGCAGCCAGGAAGCCAGTGTTTTAGAGCAACTCGACCGTGCCTGGACATAAAGCACACAGACATAGGGGGTCACCGACCATGTAAAAATTGAAATAAAATATAGTTATACTTTTGCCACTCCCAATCTCAAGAACTCAGGTAGCAAAAATTTTCTCAGAGTTTCTTTGCAGATCTATTGTCGAAGCAAGGAAACGTATCTGCTGGTTTTCCTAATTCCAATGGTTGAAGTAGGTTCTAAGCATCAGCATTTCCCATGGAAGTGAAAACTTTCCAATAGTATTCAAAATTCTGTTTAATGTGGTGTTCATTAGAATTTGAAGAAACCATTATCCGTATTTAGAAGAAAAATATATTTACAACAGGTCCATTTTAAGAAAACACACTGACACACACATATATATGTATATATGCATAACAGGTTCATTTGTGCTTACAAATGCTTATTGGGAACAGTATCAAATGATTTTATTATCCGTGTGACAACTGATACCCACAGTACTATTTGGCAGTAGATAATCTTCCAAGTGAGTCTCTCATCTAATACTGACTCTCTTACCTTATCATCAACATGTGGACATTCTTATGCATGTATCAATTTTAGATACAAAATTATTTTAAGAAAAAAAAAAAAAAAGGAAAGAAATTTAACAAACAGCAGCTGGGTGAAACAGAAAATGTACCAGAACCAATCAAACTCATGCCGTAAGAGGCAAGCATCGGAGCAAAAGATTCTGGCAGGGAGTTTCAGTAAGAATCCCTTGGAACTTGGAAGCTTCATCAGTCATCCCACCGAATGGAGAATTCCTGTCTGCACAACTAGCCGAAGGCACATGAATCGAACAAGATACCACTCAACACCGTAGCATCTACAATGTGCAAATGCATAACTCAGGAATGGAGTCATTCAACGAGAGTAATGGTTAGTGAAAAATAAAATTCTTCCGTTGAATTTATAGTAAAACATGTACATATATGCCAATTATAGCTGGAAACAAAATGAATTCTACTAGAACATCAGTAAATCATATTAGTAGGTTTTAATGGCATGGGGACCCAAAGACCTCAAATGTCATTTATGATGTTAACTTAAGATCCACGTATCAGTATGATGTAGGCGAACTGCATGGCCATTATGTAGCAAATTAGCATGCCACAAGAGGTCTTGAAGTCTTGGGACATATCTCTGAGGCCCAAAAATCTTAGACAGGACGGATGATAAAGGAAAGGTAAAAGCTGCACGTGATTAGGTTTTTATGCATCATTAGTCTTGGTTTCCTGCAATAATTAGGAACTTAAAAGACAAAATTCGTAAGGGAACATGTAGACATTAACCGGGTTTTAAGAAAAAGTAAAACCTGGAAATGGTTCTGCCAAGCCTCCCATCACAACACAACAGCCTGAAGTTTGTTCACAAGAATTTTAAATCTTTTTAAATGCCGTAGATCTGCTTCCTTCTTACTTCTCGTAATTTCAGGATATTTGCTACAATATACTAGTTTTGTATATTATCTCTTTATATAATGATCAAAATTTTATAATCACAATGATACATACATAGTCCAAGGACACGCTCACTTTCCAATGATTCCAATCTATCAACACTACAAGAGTTACAATCTCATAATATATACACCAAAAAACGAAAAAACATTCTTTTGATATACTCCGTAGAAAAATACTAGATAATTTCAGGTTCATGTTAGGCATAGGTTATTGTTCTTATGGGCCAGCTGTGCATAGTATTGAATAACCTCATTTTAAACACTATGGTAAAGATATTGAGCCAAACACTTACCATATGAAATCTACTACGAGGAAAGATGTTCATTAATTAAAATATCCTATATATGTAGGTGGAAACCGGGGATGGGATCTCTTATCCCGAGAGGAGCAAAAGTAACAATAAAGTTAATGGTGCAAAAGCAGCAGGTATAATAAGCAAAATCATATGAAAAGAAAAGGGGGATATGCAATAAGCCATAGCCGATGAACTGGATGGAAATTTTTTTATTTCTTTTAATTTTTTCTATCTTGATGGAACAAGAAACACATAAAAGAGAAGGTGACAATGAAACTTGCACAAATCGAGAAGTACTAGAGCATATGTACATGAAAGTATATGACCATGAAGTGTCACTGTACCTTCAATCTATAATTATGTGATTACAGTACTTTCTCTTTCGCCTCCTTGCTTTCCTCAGAATCCTCAGAGTCTCTTCCTTCACTTCTGCCATTGAATATTTTTCTAAGCCTTCCCAAAAAATAGACAGGTTAAGCACAGTGATTTAAACCTGATTATATTGATTAAGTGATTTTTACAGCAATATCAAGTCAAATCCATTTAGAGGAATTATACATGCAGTTTATCTGTGGTAAAGAATAAATAATCCTCCAATAGTTTCTTTTTATGGTTGTAGTTAATTTTTACATGCAGTTTATTAAAAAATTGTTACCTTTCAATGGAGCATAAGCATTTGTTCCTCTACTTTCATGAACTAATAGAAATAGAATGTTACTATTATCAGTGTAACGAATTGTTCCTTAAAGGCCTAAAGGGATGTTGGTTTTTCCATATAATATACTGACCAATTCTGTCAGAAACAGCTCTTCAGGTACAGCTGTTAAACATGTTTACAGTCCATTTTCCTAATGTTAGTCTTCAATTTGGACTGATCTATTTTATCCAAGTCCAGATGTGGGTTACAGAGATCATCCAACTACGCAACTACTTCTAAACATTAAACTGAGATGCAAAATCACTTGTTACACACTGACTATTTCTCGTGAAAATTAAAACAAGGATAGAACACGTGGCACTACAGAAAGGAGTACTAAAGGCTGCTGTTTTATATTAAATTTTCTTACCTGTTTCTTTTTCTTCCAGCAAGCAGGAAAACCCATCAATCTCTTCATCTGATTCAATGGCAACTCTCCGTTCTCTTTCCTACACAAACCGAACTTCGTCTCAATTTAGACATCGATACAAGCTTGACAAAGTTTCTCATTTGGAGATCGCACAAATAGGGCATATATGATGAAAGCTCAACTTCCCATTTGATGCAATATTAACCCAATTTCAAACCCCAACTCCACGCTCCACACCCCAAAAAAAATGGGAAAGAGAAACCCAGTTAAAGAGAAGTGCAAGACTTACCAGTTCAGCGGGAGAGACTTCCTTTTGTTTTTGTTCCTTATTGGAGCACCTATAAGTGAAATTAGATCGTTCTTGTTTCACTGTAGTCCAGCTTCCCACTTCTACCTTTGGACCCAGTGTTGCTTGCCCACGAACCTTGGGATGCACCACTGGACTGAAATCAAGAAGAAGTTTTTTGATCACTTGACAGGCTAGAGGCAACAAGGAGACAAAATAGTACTATAAACCAATTAGAAAACTAAACATACTTTAACCGTACATATGGATAAATGAATGGATTTGAAATGAAGCGGTTTGAGTTCAAGAGAATGTCAGATAGTAGATATATTTTATCACAATCCTTGTGCAACTAAATTTTTTACCACCATGGATTTTAAAAACTCCTTGCACCTTGTTATTTGCAACCATATATTAATGCTCTCACATTTAGGGTGCACAAAATACCGTTAGAACCGTAAAAACAGACTAGTCCATACGGTTTGGTTTGGTTTGGTTCGGCTCTATGATGGAATGGTGTTCCGGTTCTAAAAATTAAAGAACCATTAATAACAGTTCAGTTCTGGTTTGGGTCAAAAAGGACCTAACTGAACCAAACTGCAGAGTTAGTCCGTTACCGATAATTAATGGTTCGGTTCCACTGATTCCAATGGTTCGTTTATAATATTTTTGGAATCGCTAGGACCGGTTTGGTTCTGGTTCATCCCATAACCGGACCAAACCAAACCGTGTGCACTCTACTCACATCAATATATGCATATTGTCAAAACTTAACTCTAAATTATCAATTCTAAGTTTAGCTGAATCCATTCTCAAATCCCTCAATCCAAATAAAGCCTAAAGGATTAAAAAGAAATTTTGGTTATTACACAATTTTAGCAAAAGAAAAATGGTTGAAGGGTAAAAATTATAAGTCCACTCTAAATATGAATAAAATCACAAAGACAGAAAAAAGAGGTTTTAGTATTTATTAACTCTCATTTTTCTTTTCTATCCTATATTTCCATTATTTTCCCTTTATAAGACCAACCCGGTACTCCTATCAGACTAAAAAACATGCACTGCCTCCCAGTGTGTGAGTGTTATAGAGTTTTAACACATTAAATATATCACAATGCATTAATAACATTTTAACACAATAGATATATCACAATGCATTGATAACATATTTGTTCACAAGTCCAGACATCATTGATACCCTTGTGATGATCAAGGACCACTACACTGGAAATGCATTTCTATCTATCACCATGATATAGAAAAGTATAGACCGACATCTAAACTAAGCCCACTTCTTGGTACTCCAGCACTCCTGGAAACAGGATAGTTGGTGTCTGAGAGCCATTTTATCATGTGCCTCTCTAACAATTATAAAGGAAAAGCATTTGGTGCAGGTCAATTGAAAGAATTCTTAAATCTAACAGCTTTGGGTCAATAAATAACTTTCAGAATTAATTTCATCACCAACAGTTAAACAAGGTTCATAAGATGGATGTAAGATATGGGGAACTACTACATAGGATCAAAAACATGTTAAACATCATGTTGACAGTTTGACACAAGAAAAAACACGTATTGGTAACATCCGTAGCTATGCTAATCATTGTGCTAGTGATTTGACAAGAAACACACTAGGTATGTGGAACCATGCATGATGCTCAGTGCCAAATTTATTCCCCGTAGAGTGCCATTTGAGATCAAGCCTCAAAGCCTCCCTCATTAAAATATTTCCCATAACTCCAGTTGTACAACATTTTTATTTTTTCAAAATTTACAGCCAATAAAAAGGAAAAATACGTTCCATTTAATGGTAAATTGTTTCATTATAGATCTTCAAGGAGATCCCAAATTTATTGGGGTTTGAGTAATGACAATAGCAACGAGTTGTTTAATCAATCAAAATAATAATCAAAGAGAGAGAGATGGATCAAGAGTCTTTTAAACTTACTTCTTGAATGGTGACATTTGCTGTGAAGTAGCACAGTAACTGATACCCTACAAATATGAAAATGCAAAAGGTTTATGGAGAACATTCTTCAAGCAAGTCTCTGAAAAAGTTGTGAAGTCTCTCTTAAGCAGGGCAAAGTACCCTTGGAAGAACAGCAGTAGGAGTTAGACGTTTTTGGTTAGGAGTTAGATGTTTTTTGTTGGGAATCTTCACGGACGCTATCACCTGCATGTAACCGAATCATGTATAAGTAAGCAAATCTCTAAGCTGTAATGAGTAGCAATACGAGAATATCAAACACTTCTCTACGTCCTCTCAAGAAAAGGGAAGTGTATTATCCTATAATTTTATATCCCCGCATATTTCAGCTTTACTTGATAAATAGTATACATGCCTGCATTTCTTGGGAGAAACTCCTGCAGATATCATATTTTAACTTCTGTAAACATGCATCAATCTGCTCTGGTAAAGCTGAAAGCATCGAAGAAATCTCCTGTAACCTTTCTTGATAAATATCCTGGATGAGTTGATCAGAAATAGATTTAAAGCCCCCATCAAGGGTAGTTTTAATATCTTCTTCTCTCTTGTCCTGATTATCATGTCTCAGTTGTATTAGAAAGTCATCATCCATTGGGTCTGAAACAAATAGGAAATACGAGAGAGAAATTCTGGAAAAAGGCTATATTGCTGTTACCAGTAGCTGCAGCGAGTGATCATGAACAATCAGCTTCTGTCGTATACCTTCCACTGGTGAAAGTTGAGTAAAATAAATAAATAAAAAATAATTATATCACAAATTTTGAATTGCGTCTAGAAGAGGTGAGAATGATCAGTTCACTTGTCACTACTTTTCCCTTTTTTTTGACTGTTCATGCCAATCCATGTCCAAGTTCTAAACCACCAATTGAAATTCATTTCAAGTTTCAACAAGCTAAACCAAAGATAATCATTATTAGAAATACTCAATTTTATGTAAAAATGCACCATCTACATCAACTTCATTGAAAAAATTGCTTCATAATTTCAACTGACTCTATTGGAATTAAAGCAGATGGAGCATGCCACAACTTTTAAATCTCTGTAAACTTTTAAAAAAATAAAATAAATGAAGCCATTTGAAAACATTAAAAGTAAGGACTCTAATGACCTTTTAAAAGACTTTCTTGTTTCTGAGTCACAGCCTACAAATAACTGATTGTAGATAAGCTTGGTTATTAAAGACTATAATTATCAAATCAAGTATTTTCCTCCTCAATCCTTATTTTTAAATATGTTGAGGATTTTAAAAACTTACCTACCACTGATACATCCTTTGTTCCTCTGTTTATTTGCATTATGTCACTCTGAATAGATTCCAAGATCATTCCAAACTTGTTTATTGAAGTTTGCATCATTCCAATGCGGTGTTCAAGTTCTTCACTAATCTGATCTGGTCATGTAAAAAAAAAAAATCTAATAAGCTTTGTAAAGACACACCAATGTATAAAAGGGGACAACTTTTAATGGATGGGTTTTGCAAAATTGTTTAAAAATTGGAACATCTTCTGTTTAGATGTTCCAAAGTTCAAATTGAATATATTGCGGTTCTTTTGAATCTGTTTGTGTAAAAGAAAATTCATGGTTAAAATCATGAATATGCTGAGGTTATCATTTACTCTAAACATACATCTGAGATCTGCAACAGGAGCAGAGTTCCATTTGCACATTAGATTGGTGGAAGATCTTGAGATTGGCATCTGACTATCTTCTCGTGCACAACTTATTGGGGGCAAACAACTAATCTTTTTCACCGAGTTCTCTCTTTCTTGAGAACCAAACCTCTGCAAAAAAGCAACACAGGATGGACCAATGTTTATTTCTACTGGAAAAAAGCATATCATGAACATTAAAAACAAAAGGTTCTCTTTTCTCTCTCTTTGTAAAGGGTGGCAATATGGGATCTTAATTAAGGACTTATCCTCCGTAGCTTTTCCATGATTAAGAACCAACAAAAGCAATTATTAAGAAGTCAATACACTGATGACTGGGCTTCTTCTTTTCAAAACACAGAGACAGAACACATTTGATTAGCGTTTCTTGAACATGCTCAAGTATGTCACCCAATGTAAATCATGTACAAAGTGTTGAGTACATAAATACAAAGTTGTGCAAATAAGAGAAAAGGAGGAAGAACGCAGATGACAAAGATATAAGAAGGTACACATAAACACCAATTTAATAATCAGGACGGGCATGCAAGACATGGAAAAACGGATTGATTTGCCATCCCCAATTTTCAACATTCCAAAACCTACTAATATTCTCGTGATAGATTGGATGATGCATATTAGATGCGTTGACAAAATCCAAAAGGTATTGACACTCCTTCATAAGAGAAGCACATGGAAAGCTGAAAACGACCATCCAAATGACATAAGTGAAGGTCACAAACACAAGCAGACAAACATTTGAAGTAAATGTTCAGAAGTACACGTCTAATGATAATAATCTTGCAGTTTCTTCACTCAAAGAATCTTAGCAATGTTTTTTTTTTTTTAACATAGAACACTTTAAATGATGCTGTAAATGCCTTTTATATGTCCATGTTATTGGTAAGAACTAAATGGCTCAAACAGTTCAACTTGATTTTATTCCAAAATTAGGCTAATAGAAAGTTATTGATACTTTTTTCTAATTTAAGCGAGTAAATATTAATTTCGCAAAGTAATATCTTCTGGCAAATTTAGTCAACCTTTGTGATATACGCGGGCAACAGATATGAGAGCTTCAGATTTGTAAAGACGAAACAGAAAGTCAAGAAACATTAAATTCGGATAGTAAAAAACAGCACAAAATCGTACACTGCCATTAAAAAGAAAATACAAGGACAAAAACAATTCAAGTTTCGTCTGCAATCAAATATTAATGTGAAATCCACAGGAAAAAAAAAAAGAAGAAGAAAAAAAAAAGAAAAAGAAAAAAGTATTAGAATTCGATCCTTATCCTTATCGATTAGTATCGTGATTATATATACACACAGACAATAGCAAATTTGATTGCTTTCATGATTTAGCTAAAAGCTCTTCAAATTCAGATCTCAAGTCAGTTAAGCATCAATACCTTAGAAAAGTGCACAGATACATATACATATAAATACATACATACATACATATATATATATAGAGAGAGAGAGAGAAAGAGAGAAAGAGAGTTAACCTGATCGTTCATCGCAATTTCATCGAGAGAATTCTGCGAGAGCTGAGAGAACATTCCATACTGAGATGAAACTCCTTGCGAAAATGACTGCTGCGATGGCTGTGATCGAAGCTGCGAGGTTTGGCTTTTGCCAAAAACCGAACACTCAGGTCCATTCGGGACAGTGCTTGCTCTCCTTTCAGATCATCACAAAAACGAACAAACAAAATCGTAAGAAAAACATAAATCATTATATATAATCACACACACACATATATGGCGTGTATATATAGATATAATTCGAAGATCTATTATGATGAAATTGAACCTTGGGGGAGGAGGAAGAACTGAAATGGAGCTGAGATCGCTGGCTTTGTTGATCTTCAACTTCATTTAATCGAAGCAACGGTTGAGATCTTCGAGAGATGAATTGAACTGTGACAGATCGAAACCCTAAGAGATCAATACAGAGGTTGATATACTAACTAAATGAATCGATCGAACCATTTTGTCTGCATAATTTGAATCGCTTTTCGTAGTCGAAGAAGTGTTCGATTTTCGCTGCTTCTGAAATTTGAACTCAGCAGAGAGAGTGGGTGAGAGTGAGTGAGACTCGCGCGAGGCATGTTATGTGCACGAAGTTTGTATGTAAGAAATAGGCGGGAAAATGGGCTTGAACAATGTGGATGGTGGATTCTCTGAGGTAGGGATTTTTTTAGGCCCGTTCGAGGGGAAATAGGTCGACCGTCCACCATCTTGGCCCAATTCGAACCGTATGTGAAAATTTCTCCATGGCATTGACATGAGGGGTGTAACATGTACACGGTCTGGTTCAGTATGGTTCTTGGTGAAATTGGAATTCAAACCATTCCCTGCTGTTCCCAAAAATTAGAATCAGAACTGAAACTATTGGGATATGGAACCAGAACCGAACTGGTTCCAGATCCCCTTTGTTTTTTTAGCAATACCTAAGGCATTACCTTAGGTCAGTCAAACAATCATCAATAGGTGTGTGTATATATATATATATTCTGTAAATATAAGCATATATTAGTAATTATATAATTATTAGTATGGTGACTTTAGAATTGGAACTGTTCCCAACGGTTCCAAAATTTTAAAACCAGAACCGGAACTGTTAGGAATCGATTCCTAATGATTCTACCGGTTTTTTATGCACCCTTATGAATCATTCATGTAAAATTATAGAATTCTAATGGAACTGAGGGTTATTGGAAAGAGAAATTTTTTTATGCGGGCACAAAGATTGAACTAATATTGTGTTTGAGAGTACTGAATCGGGAGAATTTAGAATTGGGAGAATTTTAATTATAACTTTTAACTAAATTTATTTTAATTCCAAATTCTAAGGTTGCTAAAATGTTTTTTAATGCTAAATTCAAAGAGCCGATTCAGTACTCCCAAAATAGAATTTAGAGTAAGTTTAATGGGTTAACCAATGAACTCCTCACATTGGCATTTAATGGGATGGACCAGTTTTTACTATTCAAAGATGAAAATGGAGAGTAATTGCTAATTGGAGAGAGATGTCCACCATAGTTACCACGTGTACAAGTGTTGCAGTCATAGCTTCAGATGGTGGTAATTTCTTTTTAGTACAGTAAATTATTCTAGTATCATTCCACATTGAGTCGAGCTAACTTCAAAATAGATTGCCACCATTAACCACTCAAATATGTGTGTGTGTGTGTGTATATATATATAGATCATTTATAAAAATTGCAGTTGCTTGTTTATAAAAAATGCAGTTGCTTGATTTATTGTGTCTTCAACTTTTCAACCCCATCAAATAAACATGCCTCTCAATGTTAACTTTATACCACTTGATTAACACATGGTGTTGTATGGGAGGGTAAAATTTGAAGGAAGAACATCCTTTCTGATACCATAAGCAGCACTATTATTTTGAGAATACAATACCATCACTTCAAATATGATATCCTGAAAGCAACTCTCATGCAACACATGTACTTCTATAATTCAACACCCATTCAACACATTCACATCAATGATGTAACATTGCAATAATTTTATTACAAAGTTGCGAAACAATAGTAATACATTCTCAAAATTTAACTTATATACACATACAATAAAGGGTAAACTGCATAAATAATAATAATAATAATAATAATAGTAATAAAAACCTTTGACTTGTAAAAGGAAATTCAATTCAAACTAAAACTAAATTTTCTCTGACTCTAATTCCAATGCAACAATTTGTTAGATTTCCTTTCTGTAGCGCTAAGAACTTCAAAGTAAATAATTTCATGACTGATGAACTACAACAAAAGCCTGACAAAGTGGTTTAAGAACTACTGTATCAACACTTGACAAGCTGACTATTGCCTTTCTACAATGCGCAAAAGCCGAACAAAGTCGGCTGAGATTTCTATATTACATAGAACAAATCAAATCTAAACATTGAGAAAAGCTTGAGACATAAACAAGTGTTTGATACATGAATACCAAAATGTAGCATCCCAGTTTTGATATTTGTCACTCCCCCAAATGGAATCTACAATCCTTAGCAATAGAGGCAAAGAAATATTAGTCATAAGCCATACCACAAAGTGTGCAGATACAATTAAGAGAGAGAATGGCTTATCTTTAAACTCTTTTCATACAAAGGTGGTGCGAGATATATATATATATATATATATATATATATATATAATGGCCTTTTAACCTCCAAAGCCGTGATTTATCTGAAAAAAAATTAACATATCTAATATTTGCTCAAAAATTCAGTTCTTGTTCAACAGACTATTTTAATTTTCATCCTATTGACACTCCTAAGTGGCAGCCACTTCAATGTTAACAGACCAATAGAAGGGCTGCATATGGACATACATGGACTACTAACAGTCCGAGACGTTTTGACCAATAGAAGGGCTGCATATGGACATACGTGGACTAGTAAAAGTTCGAGACGTGTGTGCTAATATTAGTAATCAACGCAAGACGTGCTGACATGGGTAATCAAAGCAAGACAGTTGGGCATCTGATAAGCCAACACATGGCTGTGCTATGATTAGGGAAGGTGGGCTGTGAGTTGGTTTTGCAGATGCTGAAATAAAAGAAAAAAGTTGTTAGTCGAACATATTTTGGCACGCCCGGTGGGACGAACAAAAAATTGTCCTATCTTCAGTTTGTCCCACCGGCCATGCCAAAATATGTCAGCCAACCAATATAAGTGGTAGAATGCGGGTAATCTAAAGTTTGCATTAGAGTTGAAGAAAAGTGTCAAATGGGTTATCGCTTTGCTTCGGCCGATTGGCCAGAAGATTAGACAATTGTCGAAAAGAGAGACACAACCCTTCGTAAGGTCCGAAATGGCTTGAAGGGCTTTTGGAAGATTGCAATTATACTAGAAAAATTAAGTGCGATATGAAAAAGTAAAAGAATTGAAAACTTTAATGAAAGAACATGGAAAAGTAAATGACGCTGAACTGAAATTGGTAGTGTAAATTGTGTTTGCTGATATAGCCTCCCAAGTGGTCTATTTGTAAGCCTCCGTAGATAAACCCATTTAACCTATTTTGCAGCAAAATCAGTCCATCCTTCCATGATATCCTGAATGATCAAGTCCACCTTTTTAGCCAACGCAACGTGTCAAAGTCCACCTAAGTGTCCCTATTTCTCCAACCATTCCACAGCTTTTGCAGCCCATTTACCACGAGACTAGGGCCTGTAATACACTTTCACTTTGCACTTAACATGTGTCCTCTATTTAACCACTTGCCCACTACTTTAGCATGCCCCACCAATTAGTTGGCCCAAACCTTCTAGCAACCTTATCCTTTATTTCAGCAGCTGAAAAACCAACTCACAGCCCACCTTTCCTAATCATAGCAGCGGCTTATCAAATGGTCAAATATCTTGCTTTGATTACCCATGTCAGCAAACACGTGTCAGGTTGCTACTAGTCCATGTTTCAGTCCACATGCAGCCCATCTATTGGTCCATATTGACGCTGAAGGGGCTGCCACTTTGTAGTCTCAACATGTCCATACATATGCACACATTACACATATATATGGGAAACAAACCACAAATGCTATAATAGCCATCCAACATATGATCAACTTCTGAAGTCTGATTTCGAACTCTAGTTCAGCTAGATGTTATCTTGTGAGCGTGACCGTGAAAAGTAGATGATGTGATTCAAGCCAACTTTATGAACAGTAAATAATTCGGAGCAATGAAGGACATACCTCTGATCTTCTTGTTCATACAGATTTCTGCCAGCATCCCTGCTCCAATTCCAGCAGCAATTAATTTCCCGTAAACAACATTGGCCGACGGAATTGATTTTCGAGGAAGGGAAGAATAATCTGGAATTTGCCCGATCTTTCCTGGAAGTTGCTTTTTTGTAACTGGTCCTGCACTGGGCTCATTTTGCACAGAACCACCAATGCTTTTCCAGTCCATCCCTTTTAATGGGTTTTTTGGCTCTTCAGTCCCCATAACAGGATACCAGTTTCACTATGTTTTTGTGCTGCGAAAAGGTACAGACTATGATTGCAACAGGCACTTCTGATTGACAAAATAACGTTACAAGCAGGGGCACACATGTTAATATGAAAAGGGGCAAAAATGAATTTACCGGTCTTCATAAGTGTTAAATCTCTAATTTGCTTTTTAAAAGAGTAACAAACCAAAATCTAACCACAAAAGAAAAAAAGAAAAAAAAAAAATAGGAAGAAGAAAGAAAGAAATCAAGTTTGTAAGCATTACAAATGTGAATGTCAATCAGGTCAATCCTTATGTAACATACCAAAAGGCAACAACTTTTATGAAGGTGCGGAATGTTTTTTAATAAATGAAGATGTTGAACATTTCTTCCATTCAGTTAATTTAGTCACATTGTCTGCTTAATTTAGTATCACTTCTGTTTCTGGAAGTCGAAGTGCTTGCATGATTGCATCTGATGCAAAAGCAATGGAAGCATCATTCCTACTTTCCAACACTACCTGACCTAGTGAAATTCACAAATGAAACTCCATTACTGTAGGAAGAATGGGAAAAAAAAAAAATTCACCTCTATACATTTTTATTTTTCAATGACCAAAACCAAGGTTTAGAGGAATGGTTTGTCACCAAATTTCATAGACTCAGTTCTTCGGAATTCTAGCAGGCCAACACTAACACCAAAAAATGTTGTGACACAAAATCTCACTACAGTAGCACAAAAAGAACATGCATAGGCACACATATAGACACACAAGCATCTATATATATATATATATATACATGTATATGTATACAATATAGGATTAGATCCCACAAAACGCAATTCCCAAACCCACATTTCCAAATTGGCATCGTCTTAGGTTATTCAGTTTTAGAATTCAATTTGTTCTTGTTCTTCCAAACACTAACCCCATAAATTTGAAGTCTTTGATTTTTAAATTTTAATATACGTTTACAACATTGCCATATCATATCTTTTTCAAATCTTGCTTTTCAATTTTATTGACACAAGAATTTTTTTAAAAAAAATTTATTGATGCAAGATTCGGGAAAGAAGAAAGAGAATGGTGATTAGAGTTAACTGGTGGTGGTGATCACCAAAGCAGAAATGGCAGCGAGTTTGGCGTCTTTTATTTTTCGTCGTCTTCTACTCTTTATGCTCGAAAACCCATTTTTAACAGTTGCTCGGACAATCTTCTACCCTTGAACCTTAAAATTTCACTGTTTGGATAATCATGTCTGGATTATCCAGGGATGGATGGGATTAACCCAGGACCCACCACGAGTTTATTCCCAACCTTCTGCAGTGCAGCAAAAAGTACTGGTGAACTGGATGAGATTCAAGTTTTAATCTACCAGTCTACTGTCTGGAAAGATTTGCACTCTTCAAGTTCAAGATACCTTTTATTGTGATTTCATTTCAAAGGGTTATGCTCTTCAAGTTCAAGTCTTCAAGATTCCATTTATTGTGATTTCATTTCATTTTTATCACATCATACACCACCACATGAGTTTTACGAATTGAAAGAGTATTTATGAATTAGAGTGCTTCCAGAGGGTGCCAACATTTATATGATTTTATACAGTAAATTTGTTAAAATGATGTAAAAATTAGCATAACATAATCTAATCCAATAAACTTTCATTTGGTCCATCTATCAAATAGAATAATTAAAAATATGTTATGGGGGAATTTCATGATATCGTTGGATTAGCTTAGGTTACATTTTGTTCAAAAGTACAGATGTAAATGGATTCTCAATGCAAGAGCATGAAATGTGTAGCTATTTAAATCCACCCGATAAAGTGATTATAACTCTTTTCTAATCTTCCTCTTATTTTCTTAGTTTTTATCAAATATCTATACTATTATAAATGGAACTTCCGGTCGTCATGTCACATTTTTATTTTTCTAAAACTCTACGATTCAATAATTATAACATCATCATCCTTGCCTTACTCCCATATAAATATGGGCAGCCACATGAATTCTGTTTCCATTCTTTTCTGTTACACGCCATTTCACCTATTAAGTTTAACTTTTTAAAGTTACTTCTAATACCTTTAACCCATGTTATTTTTGGTTGTCCCCTCCGTCTCGCCTTCTATGACAACTAATCTTCCTCGTCTTACTGGTGCAACTATAAGTATCCATTTTTTTTTTGATAAGTAACTGTAAGTCTCCATTGAACGATTGAAAGTGTCCAAACCATCTAAGTCTACTCTTTCTTATTTTCTTGCTAATTGGTGCAACTCCTAATTAAGCATTCTCATTTCCGCTACATGAAGGAGTTGTTCTTTTTTCGTTTTTAAAAGTCTAGAACTTTGATTCATATAGCATAGTTGGCCTAATAACGACATGGTATTCTTTTGCCACATAAAAGGTCACTAGACAACTCCATTTGGCCACTCTGATCTAATTCTACTAGTCATATCACTATCTTAGGGGTGGGAATTCGTGATGGAGTCGACACGAACACGACACGATTATTACACATATAACACGACACGACATGCGTAACCTGTTTAATAAATAGATCAAGACTTGACATAACACGAAAAGACACGTTTAAGTCATTTTTGACACGAACACGACATTTTTATTTTACACATTTAGCTAAATGGGTCATTTTTTACATGAACCAACATCTTTATTTGACATGTTTAGTTAATCGGGTTATACGTGTCATAATCGTCATACGAACATGACATGTTTAGTTAGCGGGTCAATCCGTGTTGATACGATTACGACACGAACACGATTAACCCAAACCCAAACTCTCTTATCTTGTGTCATGTTAGCGTGTCGTGTCAAATATTGCAAACCCTGCTATCAATCTCTTCATCCTTTTGTTTTATCAAAGTAAATAGCGGAAGTAGTTATTTTAGAAGTAATGAACAAACACTAGACTACCCAGTTTAATGAACATACAACAAACAACAATGAGCAAAGTGAATTTTAGAAGTAATTAACAAAAATTAGACTGCCAAGAAACCGAAATCTAAGCAATTAATATTCACATTAAATTAATGTGCAAGTAATTAATTATCCAAAAAAAAAAAAAGTGCAAGTAATCAAATGGGGTTTCATTTTGTCACTGAATTGAGAACATGTAAATACTAGACTACCAAGTTTAGTCCATGGATTTAAGCAAGTCGAGCAAAACATGAATTGTAAACTAGTTAACCAAATGACATCAGAAATCAAAAAATAGGTTTCATTCAGATCAATAAATATAAATAAATTATAAAAAATAAAAAAGAAATGCTACCCAGTCAACCAAATCAAGTCAGAAAATTAAGAACCTGATTTACTTTTCGAATATGGTTCACACGTTCGATCTTTGCAATTCGTTCGACAGAAGATTGGGGATGGCAAATCGAAGAGAGAGAGAGAGAGAGGGCAAAAAGCCAGCAATATAAGATTAGCTCTTTGGGCGGGCTAGGTAAATATGGTACCATATTCAACCCGTTTTAACCTCTTACATAGCCCATTGGACTCTGGCTTTTACAACCCGATTTTGATCCTCTACACAAAATAGTTGGCCCATATCCATAAACAGCGGGCTAACTCTTACGGATCTTTGGCTCTATGTAATTTTTAAAAAAATCAACTTCATTGTGAGTGACTTTGGACTCTCAAATGATTTAAAGATGCAAGCAACCACCAACAAAGCACGTATGTGTTATTTATTTAAAGAAATTCAAGCTTCACTTTTAGTAAAACTCAAATCAGCCAACTACGGATAGCACTCCAAAAGATCATACAACCGAACTATTCGTGTGAACCGCGTGCGTAAATTTTGTCATCCCTAAATTCATAAGGTAACACATTTCTTTTTCTTTTTAGGAAAATAAAAAAATAGGAGGTGAATGTGATTTGATCATTATGGTGTCTGCCAATAATTATGTACATTTTTCTTTGTTGTGTACGGGCATAACCTTAATGCTACGTTTAGTGGGCAAGAATAGAATAGAATGTCCATTCCAATCATTCTTTTGTTTGGTATACAACTTAAAGTGGGAATGACCATTCCATTGGAATGAAAATTCATTCCGGAATGAATTTTCATTTTACAACTAAACCTATTAAATGGCCATTCCAGTCCCAAGTAATTTATTTTAAAAAATCGACTTTCCAAAACACCCTTATATTCCAAGTCTAAAAACCACCATTACCTTCCACCACAATCATCTCCGCTTTTCACCACCACCACCACTACCACTACCTTCCACCACCACCGACTTTCACCATCGCCCACCACTTTCCACCACCGCCGCCTTTCACCACCGCTACCACCACCATTTGCCGCAACCACCACCGCTGCCGCCTTTCACCACCGCTACCGCCACCACCTTCTACCACTACCACTGCCATTGCCTTTCACCACCTTCCACCACCACCACTGCTACCGCCTTTCACTACCACCACCGCCACCGCAATAGCCCTACACCACCACCGCCGTCTTCAACTACCGCCACCGTCACCTTTCACCACCACCGCCGCCGCTGCATTTAACAACCACCAACGCCGCCGCCATCGCCTTCCACCACCACCATCGCCTTCTACTACCTTGCACCACCACCGCCACCGCCGCCACCACCTTCCGCCACCGCCACCGCCTTCCACCACTGCCACCGCCACCTTTCACCACCACCACCACCACCACCACCTTCTGCTACTGCCACCGCCACCACCTTTCGCCATCGCCCACCATCTTCCGCTACCACCTTCCACCATCGCCACCACCTTCCACCACCATTATAGTCACACCACTATCTCCTTCCACCACAACCACCACACTACTGCCACCGCCTTCCACCAACACCACTGTCACCTTCCACCATCACTGCTACTACCAATTTCCACCATTGCCACCGCCGCCGCCTTCCAACACCATTACCTACACTACTATCGCTTTCCACCATCCACCACCGCCACTGCCACCATTTATTTTTAAAAAATTATTAGAGAATATCATTCTGTTAATTTAATTTAATTTATTTGTTATTAAGAGGGATATTTTGAAGAATTCAATTAGAAATTTATTTTATTTTAAAGTTTAAATTGGTCCAACCAAACACTAGAATGGTTATTATCATTCAATTTCTACACATTTCATATTTACAACCAAATAATTGAATGAGAATGACCATTCTATTTCATTCCATTCCCATTCCCATCTCATTCTCACTTGCATTTCATTTCATTTCTGCGCACCAAACATAACATAACCGACTTTTGCAATGTACTACCATTTCTAGAGGATATAATGTCGCTGCTTGTGTATTCTGACAAGGTGCATTTATGTACTCCAAAACATTAGGCATCGTTTTGGCCTTGTCTTCAACTAAACTTCACATGGTGTTTCATATATATATATATATATAGAGAGAGAGAGAGAGAGAGAGAGAAAGAGAGATTGTAAATTATTGTATTTAATGTAATTTAACCCGCTTGGAATTCATCTTGTTGGACTATAGTCTTCGTTTTAATCTGTTAAATTGGCTCTATTCGAAGGTCATTTTCACCGAACAGCAAGTACCCAATAGTCGATTTTTTTCTTTTTTTATTATGCCTATTTTATATTAATTTAGGGGATATTCCCTTTTCCTTGATAGATATATTTAAGGGATATTCTCGTTGGTGGGTAAATTAAACTTTTTCAGTTGGGATAATAATATATTTAGTTAGTAAACACATACATCAAGTTAACCTCAATATATATTAAAGCCATGTCATTAGAAAATCTTCTTTATTTATAATCACGCCTGGTTGTTGAAAGGAAAAGAGAGAATAGAAAAGGATTGGAAAGATTTTTCTTTCATACGGTAGAAGAGAAAAGGGAATGGAAAGAAATGGAAAAGGGAAGCCCTATCCTCCAAGCTCAACCCATTCCATCTTTCCCAAAAGTGAGAGAATGTGAGAAATAAAGCATGTATTTTTTCTTTTTTTAGTATACTTTTTCGGTCATTTTATAAAATTATATATATATATATATTTTATAAAATGGTTCAGTAAGGGTAATTTAATCAATTTAAAGTTTAAATTTATCGATTTATTTACACCAAATTGAAATTATAGGTATATTTTTTACACGTGAAAGGTATGATAAGTACTGTAAACATACTTTAAGAGTGTTTTATGTACTTGATCCTATTATAAAATGATATTAATGATCAACTCATGCAATATCTATTCTCATGCTAAATCATTTTCTTTCCACTCAATCATCTAATAAAAGAGAAAGATTTTGCCATTTGGTACTGCATCTTTATTCTCATTTCACCATTCCTTCTATCAATACGTAATTGGGTATGGATAAATTACTTGACCTTGATATCTCATGAAGTATCAAGTTTAATGTATTATTTTGAGTGCAAATAATTTATTGAAGTCACACCTGACTCGTGTGGAGAAAATGCTTTGACAATATTTTGAAAATTAATCAAGACAAAGAATCGAATACCAGGTAACTATAAAAAGTAAAAAAAAAAAAAAAAAAAAAAATTGTGTCATCTTTAAACAGTACTAATATCATATAATCTATCAAACAACCAACATATGCAACACTGTGAGATATTCTACATCTAAATATAAGTACTTTGAAGTAAACCTTTTCCTTACTGATTCTCTCCTTAATCAAATGTCATGTTACATATAATCATTAATTATTAATTAATTATTGATGTGAGACATGGCGGTCTATATATTATCCATATAATGGTTACACACACACACACACACACACACGTATATATATATATTGCTAATTAACATTTCATTTCACTCACTATCAACAACATTTCTTTAATTAAGTTAGGTTTGAAATTAAGCTATGTTTCAATAAAATATTATGCTATGATAATTTCTTCTAATCTACCTCTCGGAAAAAAATAAAAATAATCAGTTTATTTATTATTTTTTTCTATACCGTTTAAATTCAATATATGGATTTCCTAGTCACTGAACAAAAACACCAAGTGTGATTTGATGTTCAAACACATAATTGGCAAGCAAGATAATTTAAGAAATATTATTGATTTATTATTATTATTATTATTGGGGAGCAACCGGATTAGAATTATCAAGTCGTGTGCTTCATAAATCAAAAATTGAAATACCTCTATTTCATGAAATTAACGTGTTCTTGTGACAATCAGGACGGAGTCAGGATGTAAGGTAAGGGGGGGATAGAAATAAATTTTGAAGGGTAATAGTTCATTTTTTTAGTAATTTAAGGGAGACAAATGTAATATTTTATGAGTATATTATTGAAAATGAACAAATTATAAGAGTAATTGTCCACACTGCTTTGAATCTGGATCCGTCCCTCCCACCCACCCACTGCCTTGGGGTTATACCATTATAGTGAGTATGATTTTCTTTATTTATTTTTAAATATTTATTTATTAATTGTGATGGTGAACAATGACAAAATAGTTCTATTTTTATAAGTCTAGATTAAAGAAAAATGCATTTTCTTTAATCTACATGCATCCATCATCTCTCATATGTAACATGACATTTGACAACTAATGCGTTGCTTTTGGAAGTTAAGATAATTAATTAATAATTTAATGATTGAGAAGTGATACATCTTTTTGATTTAACTAAAATTTGGTGACGTTTCACAAAGTCAACACAGGGAGATACATTGTAACCTTTGTAGGGTTGTTTCATCCCTCTAGATGGGATTAATTGATTAATTCAAGCTTAATTATAAATAGTTTAAATTACTAGAGAATCTAATATAAAAAAAAAAATACTATTTGTAGATAACATTTGTATATAAAAAATCTTGGACTTGGTCAAATTAAAAGGACATTAATTCCATTTTACAGTGAAGTCCCCAGTCATTTTCAACATTTACAAAATAGATCACATTAATAGAATTTTCTCAGTAGTTAGGTGTTCCTTCAATTCCAAGTTTCAGTAATTCTTATCTAGACCAGTCAATTACTTTGACAACCAGTTTGGCAAGAAATTGCAGAGAAGATATTGTGGTTGAAACCGAGTCATCAAATTTATTGGTTAGTCAAATTAATATTCTTTTGCATACTATACATGTGTATTGTAACATTGCTAGAGCTTTTACAAGGAAGGACTATTTTAATTATTAATTGCCATTTGTTACAATAATAAGACAATCAACAACCTTAGGACCACGTGGGCACCAAGTTTGCCCACTAATCTACGTTAATAGAGATCCATCTACTCATTTTTCTTAAGCATCAGCCGTCATTTTTTGGTCCATTGTCGTGACAATTTCTTCTTCATATACCAATGGTCATACATTTGGCCACAAAAACAAAAACCAAAAAGGTTCATTAGCGACTAGGTGTAAGTTGTAATAGACCGTAATTGTTCCTGACGACGGTCAATTTAGACTGTCTAAATTAAGTACTTGGCGTGAAATTGGATAAAAAATTTAAAAGTTTAAAGTTTAAATTATTGAGTAATATTGTATACTTGTTTGTATGTGTCTAAATCTTTTTTTATTCGGATTTGATGTGAAACAAGAACTTCTAATATCATCACATTACGTCACATCTTTTTCTTTTATGGTGTGTTTAAAAAGATAAAAAGCCTATTCGGATAATTAGAAAGGAGAACGAAAGACAGAAAATTATGGTAGAAAAAGAGAACAAGAAAAGAAAGGAAATATATTTTCTTGGTGTGAGTGGAAAGACAAATCTATATAATTCCATTGTGTCTCATTTTCCTTTCTCTGGCCTCGTCTTTTTAACCAAATACGATTATTATTATTATTTTTTTATGAGATAACTTTTGTTTCATTTTGGTTTAACTTTTCCTTCTTCTTTTTTAAATTTTATTTTATTATTATTTTTATTTTCCATTTTTACCTTCCCAAATCTAACCAAAAGAAGTGTGGGGTTGGAATTTATGAACAAATATTAGGCACTCTGGTTACAACTAAATAGTATCTCAATTAATGAAAATGTACTATTCTTTTTAGTGATAATAAAAAATTTTATTTGATATTATATTATCGGTATTCTCGGACTCGGTGTATTTAATAATTTTTTGAAATTTAGATGGGTTTTGCAATTGAGAATCATATCCCATTAGAAAAGAAAAAAATAAAAATATATATATAAAAGGTTCTTTTGTGTTCTCAACACACACACACACACATATATATATATATATATATATATTATTTAAAATGAAATTATAAGTGAACGTGTGAACGTTTTGTTATCTTTATAAGTGAACGTGTGAACGTTTTGTTATCTTTAAAAACTCGACAAAATATATATATATATATATATAAAGTTGTGTAGTTACTTGTCTGTAACAATAAAATAAAAGTCTTCTGGTACATCATGAGTTGTAATTACAATTTACATTATTTCACTTAGATGTCTGAGTTAAACAGAATTGTCTATGATAAGAATATCCATTCCAATACAACACCTATTCCGAGTAGATATTAGTATCCATTAAATTGCTGCACAGGATATTGTTTATGATGAGGAGTGAAAATGATTCAATTGACCCAAACCAAACCCTTTAAACATAATCCAAAATTAATAAATGAAGATCACGCGTATTCAACCGACATGACTTTTGCCTACTCATTGACAGTTATTACCGTTTACCAGAAGGAACACGACAGGTGACTAGAGACACCCGGTAAACTGTAAAAACTCCCAAAACTAAGAATCTATTAATGCCAAGTGGGTATCTTAATTAATCATCATCGCCAGGACATGAGATTAATTACTGTTTCCAAGTCCGCATTCTGTCGTCGTGATACACAAAAGACGAGAGGATCAAAAGTCGGCAAGCAGAATATACCTGTACTTGTTGGCCCACCAACTCCTTCTCTCTTGTTGACTAACACTAAATGTTTGTGAAAAATATCCGCTTAAACTAATTTTTTATTATCTTTTTAACACATTTTTTTTAATTGTCTTTTTTTTATCCACTTATATACAAATTTCTTTCTCAAAAAGACAAATGCATCGTGTTACAAAATGAGAAAGGACGAGGTGGAAAGATTCATCGTGGCAATTAGACGTTGCAACAATCACTTAGGAATCATCAACTTATATATGAACAGTAGTAAACGGTTGAACATTGTTAAATTTTTTAATTGAATTAAAGTATTATAAATTAAAAAATTATTAAATAATTCTGAACTTTATAATTATATTCCATCAAATTTTTTTAACTAAAATAAATAAATTTAGTGAAGTTCAACGGGTATAAAAAAGAAATTTATTAGAACACAAAATGACATATATTAGGTGATCATTTAATATTTTTTTTCATTACGTCTCAGAGTAGATGTCATATTATTTTTAAGGATTGAGCACTGGGCAAAATGGTGGACTAACATCAAACATATCATACATTGAATTTTTACTTTTAAAATCATATTAAATTTGGTAGGAATCTAATTTATGATTTCCCTTTCTATCTCAACTTTGATGATTGGGATCACGAGAAAAGGAGACATTTTTGTAACCAAAGGAAATCCTAAAACAAATTCCTAATTTCTACAATTAAACTGATGAAACTTTGAAATTAAACCTTAAAAATTTTTAACATAAAAATCCAAAACTTAAATAATTGTTTGTGTACATTTGAAAATACATACTCCCTTTGTCCCATAATAAGTGTCATGTTTTTCTTTATTGTCTGTCTCAAGATAACCGTTCACTTTCCTTTTTCAAATAATATATTTCACATATTTTCATATATATATAGTTTGAGTTTAAAATTTCAAACTTAACATTCAAAACTTAAAAGGACAGATTAAATTTTTTTTCAGACAATGTATGTCCCATATGTCTCCTTAAAAATTATTACTCTTCATAATCACACTTAAACTGAGACAGGGAGAGTATTTTTCTTTTACAAAAAAAAATGACTAAATAATTGTTAATTATTTAATGAATTATATTATAATCCATTGAAAAGAATTAGCAATAAAGTTATAAATTGTTGTGGTTGTTTTAATATCTAAATCTAAAATTAACAAACAATCTAAATCAAGAGAATTTAAGAGTTTGCTTGATTTGTAATTCTGAAAATAATTTTTTGTTTTCAGAAAATAGAAAATTGTACAAAATTTTTTGTTTGATTCAGTTTTCTGAAAATTGTTTTATGAAAACTTACTTATAAAAATACTTAAAAATTTTATTTTATTATTTTTTAAAAATTATTTTCTATTCTTTTAATTTAAAAATTATTTTTATAATTACAAACTAAGTCGTCCCTAAACATGTAATAAATAATGCATTCAACACGTTCATGACATCCTACATTTTCTGAGCAACGAAACGGAACAGTTCCTTACAATCCAGTCTAAACAGTAGACTTTTGATTTCAAAAGGAAGCCCCATGATAAGAGTATGAGGGCACCCTCACTTTAATATAACCCTAAAATTTCAACTTTTCGGCGAAACGTTATTTTAACTCGACAACTGGGCTATTGGGGCCCAGGGGCCATTCGCAGAAGCTTCGTGTTTAAGAAAGTTTCAACTTTGCAAGCAACCGGAGAGAGAATCTAGAGAGAGAAAACAAGAGAACAGAGGAGAGAGAGTGAGGTGGATGGAGCCCGCCGTGAATGTATCTACGCAAATTTCATTGAATATATAATCCTATATATATATATATCGTAGTCTATTGTAGCTGACAAGCAACCCCTTTTAATGTTAATCATAGCTATAGAGACTTCTCAATACTTTTGTTTGCTTACATCGATTTCAATCCAGTGTTCTAAAATTGAAGCGAGAATTCGAGTGATTGATAGTATCTTCTCTTCGAATCTTCGAAACGTTAGGGTTTCAGTTGAACAGGAAGAAGTTTAGGAAGAGAGAGAGAGTGAGGATTTGAGTGATTGATAGTGTAATCTCGTGAAATGTTGATTCAGTGTTTTCTAGCGTCTTCAAATATTCAATCCGAGTGAGAAATAAGGTTCTAGAGAGAGAGAGAGGAGTAGAATTCGTTTCAGCACTTCGTTTAAATTGTCCCCTTTTCGTCAAATATTCAGAGAATTGGGGGTTTTCTGGTGTTTGAGTAAGTTTATTATATATATATATATGCAGATACAGACAGAATTGGAATTGAGTAGCTGAAGGAATTGATAATTTTCTATGGCTGTGGTGAGTCCCATGCCTGCGATTCCACAACAAATAAATCCGATTAGGTATCCTAATATTGAAATCTCAAGAATGATGGCTAGTAGAAATGAAATTGTGGAAGAAGCACCTGTGAGAATGATTGAAGATAGGATATATGTTACGGTGGGGAAGGAGGTTAAAGAGAGTAAATATACTTTGTCATGGGCACTGCATAACTCAGGAGGAAGGAAGGTCTGCATCCTTCATGTTCACCAGCCAGCGCAGATGATTCCAATGAGTAATTTTTCTTACTGATGTCTTCTGAATACGTTAATTGTTCATTTTTTTTTTTAATGAATTTTGAAATTATTATCGTTGACTTTTTAATAATTGAACCCCAATTGCTTTATAATTTCAAGAATAAAGCCGGATTTTGTGCGTATTTTTTGAAATGTAATAGTTTTTCAGCTCTATTACCTTTTATTATTTATTTACAGGTTTGTCCAAAATTAATCTGTACTATTTTATGCAGGATCAATATGTGTGTGTTTGAGAATGTCCAAGAAAAATGAGCAATCAAAATTTTTTTCCCCTTCATTTTCTTGTTTCACTATTCTTTTGGAACTTCTCATTTTAATTCTTTTTTTTCCCCTAGTTTCATTTTAATTTTAATTCTGTAATTATTCTTTGTTGAACTGCCCTATTTGCCTATTTCATGATACCGTTCTAATTTCTTAGTTTTTGAATTTACACATCATCTTATTATAATTTTTATTATTTTTTGGCAGTGGGCACAAAATTTCCAGTGAGCCGACTGGAACACCATCAAGTCAGGTCATACCGAGAAACTGAAAGGGAGAATATGCAAAAGCTTCTGAATGAATACAGTATCATGTGTGAACAAGCAGGGGTATGATTTGGTTATCTGTTTTTCCAGTAACATGTAATTGTATTTGAGTCTTGTAGCTTCCGTGAAACTTGATATAATATAGGAGAACAAGTTGTTTAAAATTTCTGAAAAATTAAATGAGAGGATTGTAGTAAAGGTTTGTAAAGAAATCAAAATGCTAAAGTATAGTGTAAGAGCCATTTACTCTGGTGATCTATGCTTAGATTATGAAGTTTCAAAGTTTGTATTTTCAAATAGCCCTCAGCTACCAATGCTCAGCAAATGGTTCTAAAATCTAGGGCTTCCTCTTGGAATAATGAATCATTGTATTTTGTGAACTTTAGTATTCGGCTTTCATGGTTTTTTTTTAATTAATTAATGCAGTCATGACTTATATTGTAGGTGCGGGCAGAGATACTGCACATTGAAATGGATTCTATTGAGAAGGGCATTGTGGAACTCATATCCAAACATTGCATCAGAAGGCTAGTTATGGGAGCAGCAGCATACTCACGCTATTCTAAGTAAAAACCACAACATTTATAATTTCAGTTGGTTATCAGCTTCATTATAGATAGTTTTTATGCACATCCCTGATCTCGTAATTAATGGCAAAATGGTGATTGTATGATGCTCTGAACACTGCTCTTTCTGACTCTTTCTGTAGTGCAAGTTTATTTTCTGGTACGATGGATCCATTCTTTCTCACTCCTTATTTTAGAATCTGTGTCCTGCATGCTAAATGCAGGAAAGTTCACATAAAGCAGAACTTTCAAGTGACCAGGAAAAAATGTCTCTGGTTTGGGAGGAGATCATAACTGGGCAGTTAGATATGCTCCTTTTGTTTTGCCCTTAGGTTATGCTTCACAAAAGGAGTGGTGATTGATTGATCTGTATTTGTATGTTGATCCAATTAATATGGGATGAAATAGATTCTTCTTCTTTTTTTCCCCTTAGAGTAACCACAAACTCAGCCAATGCGATTCTGTAAATAATAATAATTGTATTCTATCATGCCATGTAACCATTGTTCAGTAAACAACAATAGTTTGTACTCAATATATTGTTGAAACTAAACTGGTCATATGAATTTAATCTGTTCCTAACTGGATAGAATCTTATATAGCACTTGTACACTAGGGTGGCTTACCCTACTGCCTTAACATTGCAGGAAAATGACAGAGCTGAAGTCCAAAAAGGCCATCTATGTACGCTTACAGGCTCCTGTTTCTTGTCACATATGGTTTATCTGCAAAGGGAACTTAGTCCACACGAGGTATTCTTGACATTAAATTTCTTATGTGTAATTTAATGAGGTTATATTGAATGGGAAATGTTTGAGGGATGATGATTTTTGTCCTTGATGGAGAAGCTTCTGAGCCTCCTTAACAATTATTTGGACCACCTACTTATTTCAATCAATTATGACAGAGAAAACTCCTGAATTCTTTTCAGCAATTTTTTTTTTCTTTTTTTCATCACTGACTTTTTTGTTTTTTACTAAATTCATAACTTTTTGATTATTGAACTATCATTTGTTGTGATTTTCATGACCACTAATGCAAGTGCCATATATAAAACAGGCAAGGTAGACTAGAAGTAGCATCTCCATCACTGCATGCAACTCCAATCACTGAAACTGGACAATCTAGTTCCTTGCAATCCCCGTCTGTTATAGAGCGGCAGAAGGATCAATTAGGTCCAGATTATCGCAGAGTTAGTTCTGATGTTCATGGGATGAAAAGTTTAACATTAGGTCCAGATTATCGCAGAGTTAGTTCTGATGTTCATGGGATGAAAGGTTTAACATTCTCTTCCTCAGATAGCACTGGAGGGGTATCTCCTCACAGTAGGTTAAATGCAGAAGGGAGCTCTGACGAATCAGATGGAATATCAAGGAGAAGTCCTTCTCTGGGTTCACGTTTTTCATCATGTTCTTCCAGTGAAGTGGTGAACGATTTATCCTCATTTGGGAGAACTGAGGGCAGTGAAAATGAGTTAGAGTTACGTGCACTGCCTCATTTGGAGGAGGATCAAAGACATTCATCTTCTCCCTCTGTACTAGTATGTATAATATTATTATTACGTGGCACGCACACACACATCATGGAGCATGTACACTTGTTGAATTTGTATGCTAAGATAGTGCAAATATAAGTATTATTTAACTTTTTTCTCCAGCATCATTGAATGAGTTGGTTCATTCACTAGAAGCATTTGAAGTACAATTTTTGGCAAGTCCCTCATTGGTTCATGAATTCTAGCAGGCAGGAATTCTGGATGGTGAATTCTATGATCAGCTGGAACAAACCATGGCAGAGGCAGAAAATTCTAAGCGAGAAGCATTTGAAGAGTCAATCAGGCGTAGAAAAGCTGAAAAAGATGCAATTGAAGCTATTCGCAGAGTAAATTTTTTAGCCATTATGCACTTTTTTCCCTTTCTTGTGGTGAATTGTGTCAGAAGTATAATACATTATGATGATTTATTGTTTTCATGTTTGTCATAGATGTTCTAAAAAGGTATAATAGATAAAAGAAATGTGATGTCTGTCTCTCACAGTCTCACACATTAAAACATTCTAGAGAGCATGTACTTGTCATGCTCAACTCTCACATCAACTGACCACCTTTTGGATGGAAGATGGACAAAATCTAGTGAACAATGCAAGGAGACCCTTACTGATCAAACTCCTTGTTTCAACGCATTGGTTTGGATGTAATAGGGCTCCAAAGATGGTTTATTGTTTCTTAGGCGATTTTCCTTCCAAGAGGTCGGGCATTATTTCTGAATTTGGTTCAGTAATTTCTTGAACCGAGTACATAGACATCAATCTAGAATTACTGTAAATCTGTAACATGTCTGACTTTAAACAGAAGATTGAAGAACTCAATGATCTTATGTGAATTTCCATTATGGCTGCCACTTTACAGGCTAAAGCATCAGAAATTTTACATTATGAGGAAATGAGAAAAAGGAAAGAAATTGAGGAAGCAGTAGCTAGAGGAAAAGAGGAACTTGAAATGATGAAGCAGCAGGCAAACGAAGTCATGGAAGAACTCCGTACTGCCCTGGAACAGAAATCATTACTGGAGAGCCAAATTGCAAATTCTAACCAGATGGTACAGGAGTTGGAACAGAAGATGTTTTCTGCTGTTGAGCTGTTGCAAAATTACAAGAAAGAACGTGACCAGTTTCAGGTAGAGCGTGATAATGCACTGAGTGTAGCTGAGGACTTGAGAAAGAAACAAGCAGAGGAGGCCTCGAGCACAATTGTGCCAAGGTTCTTTTCTGAATTCTCTCTCTCTGAAATTGAAGAAGCAACTTGCAACTTTGACCCATCCTTGAAGGTCGGGGAAGGGGGTTATGGAAGTATATATAAAGGTTGCCTTCGTCACACTCAAGTTGCTATAAAGATGCTTCACCCTAATAGCTTGCAAGGCCCCTCAGAATTTCAGCAGGAGGTAAGATGATTTGAGTTTTATTCTCACTTGATGTCAGGTAAACCATTAATTTGCACCATGCATTTGCTAAGCTGAAAGTTGTAGTTATTACCAGGGTTGAAAGTCTTACAAAAACATTTGTTTGTCGGCAGATTAATATAATTTATTTTTTCTATAACATAATTTGATAACTATGGTTTTTTCTTTCTTGTGGTGCATTTAATAGATGGCCTTACTATTTTATGATTTGGATCAGTGAATCAAATAGGAAATTTTAAACTTTTTTGTGGGGGTATAGCCCTTTATTTGCTCCATGTCAATTGGTTCACTGCTCACATGCCTCTGCATCCAAATTCTAGATTTAATGGTCTGTTGTCTGAAATTCTGGTATATTGGAGTTGTATTTGATATCTCTTCGGATAAGTGCTTGTGTCTTGTTCATTCACTGTTTTAGCATATGCCTGGCAATCTGAATATATGATGCTGACATATGTTCACTGATGGAGAGCCATCATGGGCTTAGGGTGGGCAGCTGCCCCCTGAAATTTGTGCAGTTTATTTTTTTTTTTACTTTTATGTATGTAGAAAGTTTACAAAATGCCCTCCCTAAAATTCTCTCTCTACACATCTCTCTAGTTCTTCCTTTGTTTTCTTTTTTACTCTCTTCTGCTCCAAATTTCTTTTATTCCCTTCAAAAGTTTTTCATAACCCTTCTTTAATAAAACCTGCATTTTTTTTTCCCTTCAAAGTTATCTCATTTTTCTTTTCTTTTTTCTCTTTGTAAAATTTCATATTCTTGCACTCATGTATGATCTATGTGCAGCAACCTTTTTTCTCTCTTCTTAATATTTCTCTTTCTCTTTTTCTTCCAATTAATTTTTGCAATTTTATGAACTTAATGTCTATATTTTAGGTTTTTGAATTTTTCCTTATTGCAATTTTTGTGAATTGTGACATGGTATTTGAATCTTGATTATTACACTAAATTTTTTTGTCTGGTTGTCTATACCAACAAGCCAGTGGTCTAGTGGTACCGGGCTTCTACTTCCCAAAGGGAGGTCAGGGATTCGAGCCTCGGTGGAGGCATGTGTGTGTGAGTACTAACTAAGATAAAAAAGAATATCTTCTTTGTTAGTTGGATTTATTTTATTTTTATTTTTTAAAAAAATTTATCATGTTCAATGTGCTCCCAAAATAAATTCTTGGCTCTGTCACTGCGTTTGGTTGAGTCTCAAGTAATTTTATAATAATTCTAATAGTTTATAATTCATAAAATTACCAACTTGTTCCCAGGTGGATAAATAATGCTTCATAATTAATAATTTTAAAACAAAAAATATATCATCATCATCATCCTTGCCTTTATCCCATATGGATGGGGCCAGCCACATGCATTCTTTCCTATTTTGTATCATGTCTTTATCTTCATTTAAATTTTGTAAGTCGTTTTCAATTACTTCATCCCACGTAAGTTATGGTCGGCCTCTTTGTCGCTTACCTTCAAAGTAAACTACTCTTCCTCTTTAAATAGGTGTATCATCGGGTCTCCATTGAATATAAAAATATATATATATATATATATATATATATGGCATCATTAATTATTAGGATGGAAAATATATGTATATATGCAAACACTCGTACAATAAAATTTACAATTTTTTTGGCCAATAAAACCCTCGACATTTTATCAACATTTAAGTAATAATTTAATTTGAAAGCATAAAATTTTTTTTTTTTATTGTTGCCTAAGGGTTAGTAGAAATAAGATATATATTGCCTTAAAATGCTGGAAGTATTATTGAAATGATTGCTTTTCTTTTTTTCCAAGTATGCTCCAAAGTAGGTGTGCATTCATTTATGGAAAATTTTCATTATGTTATTTCGGTACTGTTTATACATATTTTATGGATTATATTCTACTAGATGCGAGAACTGGATATACTGATAAATATTAAGACTAAAGACAATTGTTTTCTATAGAACTCGTAGACAAATTTCTTTACTTCATTCTAATACTTACTCTCTATATTCCATCAGCACTGTTGCGCAGTATAGCTTATCAATTTCTTTTATAAGTAACTTACCGGAAAAAAGGAGATAGGAAAGTTGACTGGACACAAACCCAACAATTAACAATATTTTGCACGAAGTGGCTATTTGTATATTTGAACCTTCTTTTTGAACATTTCAAGTAATCCCTGATATCAGTTTCTTTTATTGTATTTTGTAAAATGAATGAGCAGTTTTTCTGTTGTCTCTGAAAAAATAATATATTAACCTGTTATATGTTGGATTTATTTTAGGTTGATGTTTTGAGTAAGTTAAGGCATCCGAACCTCGTCACTCTCATAGGAGCCTGCCCAGATGCTTGGGCCCTAATTTACGAGTATCTTCCTAATGGGAGTCTTGAAGATCGGCTCAACTGCAGGGAAAACACTCCCCCACTATCCTGGCAAACTCGAATACGAATTGCCGCAGAATTATGTAATGTTCTCATCTTCCTTCATTCATGTAACCCCCACAGCATAGTACATGGAGACTTAAAACCAGCAAACATTCTTCTTGATGCCAACTTCGTGAGCAAACTCAGTGACTTTGGAATCTGTCGTGTACTCTCCTGCAATGAAAGTTCAAGCAACCACACGACATTGTGTTGTAGAACTGATCCAAAGGGCACCTTCGCTTACATGGATCCTGAATTCCTTTCCACTGGAGAACTTACTTCAAAGTCAGATGTCTACTCATTTGGAATCATCTTGCTACGGCTATTGACAGGGAGGCCAGCCTTGGGGATAACAAAGGAAGTGCAGTATGCATTAGATAAAGGAAATTTGAAAAACTTGTTGGATCCTACAGCTGGAGACTGGCCATTTGTGCAAGCCAAACAGTTGGCTCACTTGGCAGTGAGGTGCTGTGAGATGAACCGTAAGAGCAGGCCAGATTTTGCCACAGAGGTGTGGAGGATACTTGAAGCAATGAGAGTCTCATGTGGAGCCTCATCGTTCCGTTTGGGGTCTGAAGAGCATCGCGAGATTCCATCCTATTTTATCTGTCCCATTTTTCAGGTAACGCCATTGCTTCTTAATTGTAACATATAACATCATTAATCCATTAAAACTGCGCATTGACTTCCCATAAATATTTAAAAGCTCAATATCAACTTCTTCTTAGTATATGTAGGCCAGTTTCTATAAATTCTTGAAGTTTATTAAGTAATTCTATTAATCTTACTGATACTTCTGAAACCCCCCTTCTCCCAACCTGCATCACAAAATTAAACTAGTTTCTTGATATTTCCTGCTTTACTTCATTTCCTCAAATAAATTCTTTGCTATGCATGTTTCTCTTTTGGATCATCGTTATGGAGTTCTTTTTTAAACTTGCAGGAAGTCATGCAAGATCCACATGTAGCAGCGGACGGTTTCACTTACGAAGCAGAGGCATTAAGGGGATGGCTTGATAGTGGCCACGACACTTCGCCCATGACGAATCTCAAGCTAGCACACACCAATCTTGTCCCGAACCATGCTCTCCGTTCTGCTATTCAGGAGTGGCTGCCACAGCCATGAAATATTATTATGTTCCGGTTCCATTTTGGTGTCGTAAGTGTTGTGTATAATCCTTTTCTCTTCCCCTTCTCATTCTTTACTGGATCTTGGACATTGTATTAGGGTAATACTCTTGTTCCATGTCATAGATGTCAGTCCTAAGGAAAACGTCTTTCTTGCTGAGTCGGGGAGGAGCCGACACGACACAGCCCTGTTTCTTGTCGGCCCCTCCTCAACTCTGGCAAGAATTGCAGGACTCCAGTACAAAAACACATACCTGTTCTACATAGTGTGATACAATTTTTTTGAAATGATATAGTTTGTGAAGTTCCGTTCCTTTCAGAGTAAAAAAGGTTTCTTTTCTGTCTTGTTAATCTTTCTTAACATTTAACTATGCTTATCATGTCATGAGCTTAAAATTAGCAGAAGAGAGTGATTTTGAAAGTCTTGTTATAAGGTGGTATATGTCTCTATCACTTGCTCCTATTTATATTTTTACTGTTATAACATATTGTACCTCAAATTTTGAGAACAAGTCAAGCATTAAATTCAATTCAAAATAAATACTTTCTCCATTAAGTGGATTATTTTCATTTATCCACCACATTGAATAATTCTATTGTAATTATTAATAATCTCAATTAGTTTTTGATCTTATTTTCTAAACATTAGTATATTCGCATAACGGTATTGGGTCTTATTTTTCAAAAGAAGGTTAAGGGTTCAAGCCTCCAAAAAGGCATGTATGTGTGAGTATCAATTAAGAAAAAAGGACGTGAAAATCATTTGGTGGGGGTCTTATATGTGCTTAAATGCATATGTAAGTTCAAGTACATCCCACCCAGCAATGCATAATTTTGTGTACATCTCAAAAACAATTTATGAAATATTTTATTTAGCTGTGTTTTGAATGATGCCTTTAGCAGCTGATCAGAACTAAATTATAAGTTTAGAGTGCTACAACAAATTCAACAATCATATGGATTTCGGTCTTTCAAGTTACCATGTGTAGTCCTATCAACACGAGCAATCTGCAAAATACACTTTGTTGACTTGGGGGTTTAAAATATATATATATATATATATATCTGCAAAATACACTTTGTTGACTCGGGGGTTTCAAAAAAAAAATAATAATATATATATATATATATATAATAATATATATTATATATATATATATATATATATATAGTGCATTTTTTTTTTTTTTCTTAGTAAGACGGAAAAATTAAAAAGATAGGTAAATAAGATGGTCTAGCGACTCTAACCACAACAAAAGTGTTGCGTATTTATATATGTAATGCTAGTACTGCAGTGCATGGGACAGGATCTGAAATCCTCCATTCGTGAAGTTGGGGACTTCAAATTACGGTAAAAAGGGTAAAAATGTTCGTTATATTTTTTGTAAGATGGGTGAAATAAGAGAGATGGGTGATCCGATTGGGACTCCTAATTATGTTCCATATATAGGTCGAAGTTGGTGGGGCGCAATTCACCAAACCAAGAGCTATTTCACATGGTTTCTCTAGTTTCCCTCATTTAATGTGGATTTATAAACCACGTTGTGTGTCAAAGTTAGCAGCAGTACAGCCCAACCACCGGAATGTACATTCCACCACCCTATGAGACATAATGAGATGGACGTGACCCATGACCCATGTGTGATTAACAATTCTAATTTTGTATTATTATAATAATAATAATAATAAAGATTATACACAAATTAAGAGTAACATGTTGACAATAAATTTTTGAGGCTCTAATTGTTATGTGATGGTTACCAAACAATGTTTTGGGTTTTGAAAAAGAGAAGGCAATGAAGTCCCATGTGATGTTTGATACAATTAATTAAAAATGACTAGGAGCTGAGTTCATGTCTAGTTCATCCTTTTGCTATCTACCTCAATAAATTCCTACCCATAAATTACAGCTAATTATTAAAATGGTTGCTTGCTTGTTTGTTTGTTTGTTTTGCGAGGAGATAGATGATGAATTGATGAAACCATAGTGGGGTACTTCTTCTTGACCAAATGTGGTAAAATTGTACCACTTCCCGGAGAAAATAGAAGTGCAGAATACTATGTAGTCTTATAGTTTGTTGAACTCATGCAAAGGGTATTTTTGGAATTTTTGTAAAATAAATTGAGCTGTGCTTGTTTTGTTTAGAATATTTATTTTCAAATTAAAGAAAGAAGGGTCATGACTATGAGGTTCCGGCAACTATAATTGTTTTTACGTGAATGGGAGATGTCAACTTTATTATTGACGTCATCGTAACTTTGGCTCTTCTATTTATGAGAATATATTCGATGTGCCCGTTGCACCGTGCACTGTACCATCAAAGTCGTCTATTACTGCACGTATTCTTCTTGACCAAGGGTGGTCAAATTGTGCCACTTCCAGGAGAAAATAGAGGTGCAGAATACCATATAGTCTTATAGTTTGTTGAACTCATGCAAAGGGCATTTTTGGGAATTTAGTAAATTAACTAGAGTTGGTGCTTGTTTTGTTTAGAATAATTATTTTCAAATCAAAGAAAGAAGGCTTACAATTATCACTGTTTTTATGTGAGTGAGGAGTGTCTATTCGGCCGGTACACCGTGTATCAGACACATAGAATCGTCTGTACATAACATGCACGAACATGTGTACAATGCGTGCAGGAACGAACTATAGCAATCACAGGCAGCTTGTTCATGTTAACAATCTACACCAACAAGTAGGGTCACCAACTAAAAGTGGCAAACAATTGAACTCTTTGAAGGGCTTCAACCACTCCAACCGAACTCCAAGAAAAATTCAAATTTTAGGATTACCCAACCTCCAACAATCAACTACATCCCACAATGCCTTCTTGCATTTATATTCTACCGTGAGTTATTCTTTTCCACAAGGTTCTGGTTGAGGTTGTTTAAGTAATTTCAACATCATGGTATAATTCCAAGCACCTTTTTATGCTGTAAAATAGACTATTGACCTTTTTTTTCATTGCATTGAGAGAATGTGAGCTGGATTAAGGTGTGCCACTCTCCAGTCAAGGTAGGTCACTTCAAATAGAGCTTTATTATCCAGTTTAAAACTGGATCATTAGAATTGATATCAGAGAAAAGTTTAATCCCAAGTTATAAAAAACTGAATTAATTTTTTTTTTCTTCTTTCAATTCCACCAATTATAATTCCAAGTAGCCAAACATAGTCTAAGGGTGTGTTTGGCTACATGGAATTGGAGCGTTAAAATTAAAAAAAAAGTTTAGTTCAAAATTATATAGTTTTTTTTTTTTTAATTTCACCAATTCCAATTTAAGTCTCCAATTCTACGCAGCTGAACACAACCTAATGGTATTTCATAGTAGATTTACTTCTTAAAATCTACCAAGTCTTGAAAATTCTAAAGACAAGTAATTTAACAATTCCTAAATTGAAATGCTAGGGGATAGTATTGTATATTTTTTTGTTACACCTATGGTTGTGATTCACACAATATAGTAATCATGGTTTGCTTTATTGGACGTATCGTCCGATACGTAACTTGTATTGGCCAGTTTATATTGACTGTATTCGAATCTATTACACCGTAATCGCCACCGATATCGCAATCGCCACCGATATCGTGGCCGATACTGCGGACCATGATAATAATATATTTAAAATTATGTACCACGAGATTTAGAATATACTTTCACCGTATTATTCTTGAGACCCTTGGGGTTCTTAATTTGAATATTAAAATTATCATCTAAAATCAATAAAAACGAACTAGGGTGGGATTAAATTAAAATTTGAACCCAAACCCATTTCAGATATACAATGCATATTGGTCAATACAGCACATAATAGCAGCATTTGGTCTCCATCAATCTTTTAATGAAGAAACACGGTTCTCCAACTTATTTTAGCATTACAATTAATGGCCTAGCCAAACAACGTTATTCATCAAGTCCACCCGATTGTCAACCACATTTATGATTTCCTGTTGAAACAAAATGTAAATATTATCACACGTTACATAAGAAAATTGCAGACCTTGGACCTCCATGATCAAATTCACACCATGTGTGATTCATGTGATTTGTCTCGTCGCAAAACAACAAATGTTATGAAAAATGATACATCATCGGAATTTAAATATGTCCAACTAGAATGACGTGACTTTATATTCGGACACCTGGTGGTAAAATTATATGTAATTGGACTAATTCTCCATCGATAATAATTTTGGCCGCCATGTTGAAATATATACACCACCGTCCAACTAAGAATGTTCTTTGTCATCACTGAATGTCTTCACACTTGGCTAAGCTGGGATCAATTTAATGGGGGGCCATTTTTTTCTTTGGGCAGGCATAGAAGTTAACAAAGTTTTTAATATGATAAAAATGAGACAACTAATGTCATTATTGAGTGCCTTGTTAAAAGGAATAAAATATGTAAAGACATAAATTTTAAATTCTGAATTTATTTTTTAAAGTTTGAACTTCTCTTAGATTATGTTTGACAGATATGGAATTAGAGTTTTGAAATTGATGGAATTGGAGAAAAACAATTCAGAAAATTGAATCAAAATGTTTTCAAATTCAACCAATTTTAATTTCAAGATTCTAATTCTATGCCGCCAAACACAGCTTTACTATAGTTCTTGGTCCCACAAAAAAAAAGAGAAGAAAATTCCTACCATGGCCAGTTCTATATAAGGTAAGTGAAAATCTTTGAAAGAGATTTTTTTCTTATTAATACTTTACTAACATAAACAACTTAAATTAATTCTATAATTTTTTTTTATTTAAATATTCAGTTATTGTTGCTTTTTAATATGGAAAAATAAAAAATTATAATGTTTAAAAGCCAATGTCTTCGAGAGTAACCTAAAGGTACTTTAAATTATTTATATGTACCATTTTTCACATGGTGCCTTACCCTTGGTAACTCAATTCATTACTTTCAGCACTTATTTAATTAGTTGGCATTTGAATATTTGATAACTTAAAAAAATAATATATTTAGAACAAAATAGCACCATAGAGAATTTTCTCGACAATTGCCTGATGTATACAGGATGGAGAGAATGCATGTGCTCGATCATGGATTCTGGAGAGACTGAACACCACCACAGTCCACACATAAACAAAAAAAGAAGTACAAAAAATTATCTTAATTTATAATTAATTATCACTTGCACTTAAAACTGAATTTCAGTATTTAATTTTCAACTTCATCAAACAGCAATTTAGTTTTCTGATCAGGTCTTAATGGTTTAGTAGTAAAACTGGCTTTGCTAAACACGTGATTGTCTTTTATTTTTTCAAGCAACTCACAAAAATCTCAAACAACTGTCTTTCATGCCGTGAAATGTGGATGTCATGAGCAAGTCTAGTTGATAAAGTTTCATGTGTTATCCATCCTCTCACTAATATGATACACCTAACAACCACTATTGACTATCGAAAACAAATGTGCTCATATATATATATATATATATGTCGAAAATTTTTAAAAAATCTAATACAGATCTAGGTCAGGCAATCCTTCTTAATAGGTGTTTCTATCTCTCATGTTTTGAACGCGTTCCCACTCTCACGTTCCGTGCACTCTTTGACTCAAATTTTTAGATTTATTTTTATCACTTTCACATTCCCATTCTCGAAATTACTCTTTTTCTCGTTTTCGCTTTACGTAACTTAGATAGAGACAATGAAAAGTTAAAAAATGGACGAAAACAATAAATATATATAGATATATATAAATATATATATATATAAAAGAAGAAGAAAGCACCATTGCCCCTACAGTCCAACAAAGAGTCAAACACACATTTACTTCTCATTGAATTTGAACCCATCCAAACACCACCCTAAAAATTATCAGAGTAACCGCCAAAATTCCCAACCGTAAAAACCCTTCAAGCCCAGTTCCGTCATTTCACCTCCATATATATATATATATAAAAGAAGAAGAAAGCACCATTGCCCCTACAGTCCAACAAAGAGTCAAACACACATTTACTTCTCATTGAATTTGAACCCATCCAAACACCACCCTAAAAATTATCAGAGTATAAAACCGCCAAAATTCCCAACCGTAAAAACCCTTCAAGCCCAGTTCCGTCATTTCACCTCCATCTCTCCGCATTTAAAACCCAACCTTCCCTCCCCAGCAGAGAGAGAGTACAATTGCAGATTTTAGAGAGACAAACACAGGAGAGAGAGAGGGTTCTCCGGTTCAGAACCATGTCGCCGGCAACCACCACCACCAAGGGAACAACCTTCCCGTCGATCACGACATGTGACGTCTCCGCAGTCAAACATCACTCGATCGCCGCCGACCTCGACGGCACACTGCTTATTTCAAGCTCCTCGTTCCCCTACTTCATGCTCGTCGCGATCGAAGCCGGAAGCCTCCTCCGCGGCCTTATTCTCCTCCTATCGTTCCCTCTCATCGCCATCGCTTACATCTTCTTCTCCGAAGCACTCGCAATCGAGATGCTGATCTTCATCTCATTCGCCGGCGTCAAGATTCGCGACATCGAGCTGGCGTCGCGCGCGGTGCTGCCGAGATTCTACGCCGCGAACGTGAGATCGGAGAGCTACGACGTGTTCGACAAGTGTAAGAGGAAGGTGGTGGTGACGGCGAACCCCACGGTGATGGTTGAGCCGTTCGTGAGGGAGTATTTGGGCGGAGACAAGGTGTTGGGGACTGAGATCGAGGTTAATCCGAAGACGAAGAAGGCCACGGGGTTTGTGAAGAAGCCAGGGGTTTTGGTGGGAAAATTGAAGAAATTGGCGGTTCTCAGCGAGTTTGGGGACGAATCTCCTGATATTGGAATCGGAGATCGTGAATCGGACCACGATTACATGTCGATTTGCAAGGTTTGTTCTCTGTTTCTATTTTTTAAATTTGATCCAGTATTTTTTCATGCTAAATTCGCTAGTAAAAATAAGTATTTTTGCTCTGTTTTGTTGCTGAGAAAATATAGCAAAACGAAAGAAACTGAAATTTTGAGTGAATCGTTTTCTTTCTTGATTGAGTAGAGGACGATCCGTTCTTTTGTTCTCTATTTTTTCTGTTTTATATTCAATTTTCTTGAAAATCACTGATTTTGTGTTTTCTCTCTAATTTTCTTTGCAACCAAACAGGGTAGTAAATCAGTGTGGAGTCGCAACTTTCTGTATATAGGATTTAACCTGATTTTACATGTCATATACTCCGTATTATGCAAATTTATTGCAAAATCTGACCGTTACCGAGTAGAACAGTGCCTAAAATGTTATTTCCCAGAACTTCATTCAATACTGGGATGTCGATTACCACATAATTTGTCTCTATCTAAAAATGGAAATTATAGTACATCACAGTGATGTTAATAGATAGTCAACCTCACTCAAATTAGATTGTTGCGTAAACTCCTCCTTTTTTCTGAAAGTTCTTCCATAATTGGATAAATAATACTCTAGGAGGATTGTTTAATAGAGCATCACAAAATCCTCTAATTAGATGAAATTCAGTACATTTCATCATCATCTTTAGAATTTATTGCACCCATGTGTTTAAACTGTTTTTATTGATTGGGTGGGTAGCTGAAGCAAAATTCATTGATATTTGCATCGAATAGGGTTGGAGTCTAGAACCACATGGCCATGTTGAAATAAATGTTCAACGAGATTGAGACATACTACCAAAAATTCATTAAATCTTATCATGCAAAATAAATTAGTCAACGGATTGTATGACAAAATATCTTTTTTTGGGTGGATAAAAAAAAAATTTTGATAGTTGATCATGTGGGATTTTTACCAAATTTCAATTGCAGTGTACTCCAAAACAAAGAAGTCTTTCAAGTTGGATTTAACAATTGTAATCATCTTGTTAACGAAAAATTATTAAATGATTCTGGTCTATTTAACACTTATTTATACACTTTTGTAGGGTCATTCTCTTAATCCGCGAGTCTGTATTAAACCATGGCATTAAAGGATTGGCTTTGTTAATTTGGTCAATTATGGCATTAAATTGGACTGGTTGGCTAATCTATAACAACAATTGAAGCAGTCTTGTATTGTTTCTTAGTTGGTTGTTGAGTTTGTTGTGAAAATAATAATAATATTTGAGTAAATAAATAAAATCTCATTTATAATTGAAGTTTGAGATAAAAAAAAAAAAATTGAGTACGAGAATTACTTGTCATGTGACAAATTTTTTTTTCTTTCTCATTAATGAATATTAAGTAGCGATAGTTAATGATTAGTTTAGGTCATTTTTCCTTATTAATGGTTACTTATTTCTCTGTCAAATTTGTACTAATTCGGAAAAAAAAAACAAAAATTGTACTAAAGATAGTTTTGTTAATATGGTCGACAGGAGGGTTACATGGTGCTCCCCAACAAATCAGCAACTCCAGTACCGCTTGATCGCCTGAAAAGCCGAATCATCTTCCATGATGGACGGCTAGTCCAGCTCCCGACCCCACTCAACGCCCTGATCACATACATCTGGCTCCCATTCGGATTCGTCCTCTCCATCATCCGCGTATACTTCAATCTCCCCCTCCCGGAACGCATCGTACGGTACACGTACCCCATGCTCGGAATCAACCTTGATATCCGTGGGACCCAACCCCCAGCCCCATCCCCAGGGACACCCGGCAACCTCTACGTCTGCAATCACCGCACAGCCCTTGATCCGATCGTGATCGCTATCGCACTCGGACGCAAAGTCTCGTGTGTCACATACAGCGTGTCTCGCCTCTCCCGATTCTTATCTCCAATCCCAGCCGTCGCTCTGACCCGCGATCGTGAAGCTGATGCTGCCCGCATCAAATCACTGCTCCAAAGAGGTGACCTGGTGGTGTGCCCTGAGGGGACCACGTGTCGCGAGCCATTCTTGCTGCGATTCTCTGCTTTGTTCGCAGAGTTAAGCGATAGGATCGTTCCAGTAGCGGTGAATCTGAAGGCCAATATGTTCCATGGGACCACCGTGCGTGGGGTCAAATTCTGGGACGCATATTTCTATTTCATGAACCCTAGGCCCACCTATGAAGTAACGTTTCTTGATCGATTGCCTGAGGAGATGACGTGTAAGGCAGGTGGGAAATCAGCGATTGAGGTGGCCAATCACGTGCAGAAGGTGTTGGGGGGTGTACTGGGGTTTGAGTGCACTCAATTGACTAGGAAGGACAAGTATATGCTGCTGGGAGGGAATGATGGGAAGGTTGAGTCCATGTACTCCAAGAAGTAGAAGAAGAAGAGGAAAAAAGTAGGTTGTTGGGTCATTTCGGTGACTCACTCTGCTTAGGGTAATTTGGTCATTTGAGTTTTAGAGTTGGGGGTGTTGTTTTGTCAATGTGGAAGGGGGTATATCTGTCTGTACAGAATTGTTTACAATTCTGATGATGTTTGATTGCCTAAATATGGTTTTGGATTTATTATTGATCTTCTCTTATCAACTAGTAAATGAATTTTATAGTATAATGTTTAGACACCCTTCAAAAAGAACTGATTAAGCCTCATAGAAAAGAGCAAAACTTCATGCTCATATAGCTGCAAAATGAGTTCAATCTTAGCGGGTAGTTTGAGCTCGGTCAATTTGATCATCCCCATGCTACAATGTTGGTACGATTCACTCAATATAAATCTACCATGTAAGTTTATTGAGTATTTTATATGTAAGTGAACTAATTTAATTGTTATTGTGTATTTTTATTGAATGTGAATACTAATAACGTGTGTAGCTGCTCAGTACTGTTTTGTAATGACAATATGAAATTTTTCATGGGTGAAGTGTAAAAAACACTTCCATAATATGCTTACAGTGTATATTACACTCTTTGCATATAAAAAACACTCATAAATTAAGATATTTGTGCAAATAAGCCCTGCTCACCCATTTATTACTAAAATGTACTTTAACTACACATTTAATAATATAGAAAAAAAAATTAATATTTTGTGAAATGACTAAAAAGGGTAGCTACAAAATACCCACAATGCCAACACCAACCCGATACAAACAACCCACAAGCAAGACCCAATTAAACCGTGGCCGGAAAGGACTGAAAATTAGAAGGAAACCACGCCCAGTTCGCCGGAGGAAGAGAAGAAGACAACCCAATTCACCAATTCGATCGGCCTACTGTAATCAAGAACCCAGAAAATTCATCAACAAATTGATCAACCAAACCACCAATTCGCAACCCCAAACCACCAATTCGCAACTGTCACATAAACCCGAACATTGACGGAGTGAGCTTCAATGACGGAGCTGTGAAAACAACCTGAATTACCTTTTTTTCTTGCTAACCAAACACAGTAAATTGTTTAGTTGTTACAGGATTGTATTTTTACCAAACAGAGTATTTTGCTTTACCAAACCCAGTTTCTTGAGGGCACAGTTAGAGAGAGAGAGAGAGAGAGGAGAGAGAAGATGAAACATATTTGGCGCGCGTTGGGTAAAAGAGAAGGAAGTGGGTCTAGAACTTAAGGGGGTGAGGATCAATGTGAGTTACCGCGAATTTCTTTAATCAAATTCAAAGCTGCTATGCCTACACATAAGGATAGCAAAGCAAGAACTGTAATCAAATTCGGCTTCAACCCCATATCTTGCATTCGTCTATAGAACATAATAGCCTTAAATGACCCATCTTCCATTTCCGATAAACCGCCTATAATTGAATTAAATGTCAATGCGTTTGGTGTAACATTGATAAATTCAAACAACTGCAAAGGGAGCCGTATTTACCATACATATCCACAAGAGCGCAGGCGACAAATGGGTTTGAGAGCAGAGAAGCTTTCACTGCGTGTTTGAAGCTTTCGTTGCGTTTCAGTTCATATTGCTTCAGTCTTGAAATAGTTTCATGGAGCTTCGAGAGACCCGGTTCATCACCGGTGCATCAAGACCCGTTTTCATGGGGCTTATTGGGTCTCGCGGGTATGGGTGCTTGCCTGGTGGTTGCGGTTTTGGGGTGGAGAATAAGGTTTGGAAGAGTAAAAAGGTCAAATGAGAATTATATTAATTGAGGGGTGTTTTTGTACAAATTGAAAAGAATAAGGGTGTTTTTTGCACTTATCCCAATTTTTTATACTAATGAACTTATGGAACTTTTGGTTTTTTTTTTTTTAATTCCCTAAACTTAAATTTTGAAGAAAAATAAAACATGACTTGAAAAATGTGGGATGGTCAAGAGCTACTGTTGAATGCTTCGTTTCTACAACAGGGCGTACATAAACTAGTTTTATCTGCTATATAGAAAACAAAATGGTCATCCAAACCATGGAAATTAGTACACTGCCATCAATATTGGAGTACCACAATGCCCCATTTTCTCTCATTACAAAAATGTTTCATGTGTTTCATGCTCATCAGATGATTCACATGGTTTTTCTCGACATAAACATATATACACACACTGTTTTTTTTATTACTACGAGGACCACTCTTATATCAATATATAATTCAGTAATACTATTAAATTAATAATGCAACATAATTACATGTTGTATATTTGATTTAATAATTTAATAATTTAAAATTAATTGTATAATATTACTAATAACACTAAAACTAAGTGGACATGGGGTCGGTCCCCTAATAAATGAGGATCGTAAGTTGGGTGTAATGAATTGTCGCAGAATTTGTATCAATTCAGGGTAAAGACTCTAATGGACTATGATAGAAAAGAGCCAGGTCAACAACACAAGTACAGTGATATGCCAATTGTTTTCTTTTTTTTTTTTTTTTACAGTAATTGGTCATTGGACTGATTATATATATATACAGTATACACATATATAGATGTGAGAGGATAACACAGAATTAATACTCCCCGTTCCTTATTTCATAACATTATCTATATACAGGCACAGACCAGTTCAGGCTCAGTGGGGAAATTTAAAAAATGCCCCCACTCAATTATTCAAAATGCTCCCTTCACATTTTTATCTCACTTATTTCTTCATTGAATTTTTTTAATTTATATTACTATCTAAAGTTTTAGTTAAAATTTCAAAAATACCCCTACTTCAAAAAATAATTTTAAAAAAATTGTCTACATTTTTTTTTTCTTCAACTGCGCCCCCCTCAAATAAAATCCTGCCTTTATACAAATATTAAAAGTAACAAATTCGGGGTACAACTTGGGTTAGGTAACCCGAGCCTAACTCGGGCCTAGCTCGATTTTTAACGGATTTGGACAATCATTTTTATAATTAAGGTTGGGCTTGGGTTGAAAAATCTCAACCCGAATTTAATTAGGGTTGGGTTTGGGTTGAAGTGTTAGCAACCCGAGCCAACCGGAACCTAGGGGTGACAATTCGTGTTTGCGGGTCGTAATTGTGTCGTGTTAATTTAAGGGTATTATACTAAACAGCTCAACCTAAACACGACCCGTTTAATAATCGTGTCAGGAACTCTCAACACTAACATGACCTGTTTATTAAACGGGTTACCCTTGTAACCCATTTAATGACCTATTTACATATATATATATATATATATATATATATATATTATATAAATTATTAATAATACTCAATAAAATCATAAATACTAAAAAAAATATAAATTTTAATCAACCAAATTACTAAATAGCTTATAGTTTACAAAAGATTAAATTATAAGACACAAGTTTATATAGTAATTTAGAACTTAAACAGAAATTTATTTATGACATATAGAATTAAACATGTATAAACAGGTTATACGGGTTGAACCCCTTAAATCAAACACGACACGATTAACTAAACGGGTTAATCGTGTCAATCCGTTTATGATCCGAACCCGTTTAAGATCAACCCAAACCCATTTAACTCGTGTCGTGTTAGCAAGTCGTGTCAACTTTTGCCACCTCTACCCGAACCCGAACCCGAATTCTAATATTATTTTCATATATATTTTCACTTTTAAATATATTATATATAATATTTAAACTACGATTACTTTTTTGTCTTTTCAACTTGTTTTGTTAAATCTTAACTTATCGTATGTTAATATTTAGGAGAATTAGTTTTCTAAAAATTTATTTGTAATTTATTAAAAATTTACAAAAAGTCTTTAAACTTTTTCTTATTTAAGAGTAATTTAATCTAAAACTAATTCAAAATCGTATTAAATTTTTGGTGTAAAGATTAACCATATGAGTAACCCAAATTAACTCGAAATTTTTACCCAGAATCAAAGCTTGAGTTGCAATGTTATAAAATAAATTGCAATGTAGCCTGTTTGCTATTATCAATAAATTAAACCTTTTTTTATTTTTTATTTTCATAAAGTTTGTTACTGTTACAGAAAGGCTGATTTTTTTTTTTTTTTTTGTTAAACTTTAATCACATTCACTGGTAATCACATTTCATTCTTGTCACACTCACCGGTCTCCAAAGAGATGGTCAAAACTATTAGAAAGTTTTTCATACTTCCTAATTACTCTGTCAGCTTTTTGGTTTATAAATGTTATAAAATAAATTGCAATGTAGCCTGTTTGCTATTATCAATAAATTAAACCTTTTTTTATTTTTTATTTTCATAAATTTTGTTACTGTTACAGAAAGGCTGATTTTTTTATTTTTATTTTTTAACGTTAATCACACTCACTAGTAATCACATTCCAGTTTCATCCTTGTCACACTCACTGGCCTCCAAAGAGATGGTCAAAACTATTAGAAAGTTTTTCATCCTTCCTAATTACTCTTTATAAGGGAGAGAAAGAAAATCAAATTAATTGTCCTTTTACTTTTAATATAGAAGCAACATGGTATCTTATGCCATGGTATCTTATGCCTGTGCAAAATAATATCCTTCACAAGTGTGAGGAAATGAGTATAGTGGAAAATAATTTTGTTATCTCATTTCTAATATCTTTATATGTTAACGATAGGAAGAATAACATCATCTAACCCTATTAGATGCCAAAACATGAAATCAAAATTAAAATTTTATGTTTTGGCATGTCAAAAAAAAGCAACAGTGAGCGTAGAAGTTCAGAAGGCTATAGAAATACCTAACAGTAGAATGAATCTTTTAATTACCTAGAACTTCCTGAATGGAAGTTTAAAAGTGCAAAATCATGTATCCATGACTCGCTATGTCAATAATGAGTGTGTTTTGAGTTAAATGTGTCCTATCTAATTTTGTTTTCATTCATTGTTTTTATTTTTATTTTTACCCATTGCATTGAACCATAATAAAGAAACAATCCAAAATATCATAAGTGAGATTTTGGAATTGATAATGTGCGAAGTGCTTATGATATTTTGGAATTGATAACCGTGTGAAGTGGTTATGAAAGGGTCAGACAGTAATTTAATCATTGTTCTTTCTTTTCTTTTTTCTCTTTTATCTTATTCAAATAAAAATAACTATCATTTCATTCCTCCCCTATCTATCATTTCATTTCATTTCTTTTCCCTCCTAACTAATACTATTATTTATTTTCT